AGTGATCATAACTTTACATTTTGTTCCAGTGTGGATCAAGAACAAAAATGTGGCCTCGGCCTTTCATTTGCTAATTCTAGCCACGGCGACGGTACTCCTTTTGCAATACGCATATACCTACCGTCAACACAACATTCTTTATTACCATATCAGCAACTTTAAAGGGAAAATGGTGGATACAGTACAGGACCATTTCAACATGACACGAATTCATCAACTTCAGTAAGCTTCCATATCATCATCTAATGTGAAGTTATTTTTTCGAAAGCTAATTGTGAGAGCCAGTGTACTGTTTGTTTTGTATAAACTTGGTAAAGGATGAACAAAATCCGTTTGGGCCTTGTTCTAGCCCAAATTATAATCGTTTTTTTTTTCGTTGAGGATAGACGTGGACGCAATATCCCCCAGCTGATTGATAGCAGCTGCTCAGAGACAAAAGCTACTATCTTTGAATTATGTTTTTAGTATTTAAACCAAGAGAGATGTGTTGTAAAATTATTGATTTGTTTCCTTTTTTTTATGTTATGTTACTTTTTTTACAGGAATATCACACGGCAGTTTTTTTATCCGAAAAAGGACATCATTGATTTTAAGGACCATGAAATATTTTTGGAAAAGTGCAATCCAGAAACATTCACACTTCTCAACTCTACAAAGGAGACCTGTAACGTCACCCACACACATGTGAAACAGTACAAGAATTGTGCACTGGTTGGGAATGGGGGTATACTACTAAACAGCAGCTGTGGTGCTGAAATAGACGCTCACGATTTTGTTATCAGAAACAATCTCGCTCCAACCGCTGAGTACAGCAAGGATGTGGGGACGAAAACCAGCCTAACAACTATTAACTTTGCAGTGCTCTGGAGGGTCACCAATACATTAAAACGTAAAAGAAAAGACAATGTCGAACTTCAATCTCTGCTGAGTCGACTGAGCGAGACCCCCGGAATGGTATTCGTTTACCCTCTTGGTATCATTGGTCTTGAAAACCTTAAAGCCATCGATATAGTCATGAAAGACAAGGGAATCCCCATCGTGTTAGCTTTTTCTCACAGGAGCATCATGACCGACAAACGGTAAGAAAGGGCTGGTAGAGAAGCATACTTTAAAAAAATATTGCATCATTACAATCGCCAAGAAGGTTTTTTGTGTTTTCATGACGGATGTATGTATGTATGTTTGTGCTAGCACGATAACTAAAATTCTTTGGACGGATGTGTTAGAGCTCGGGAAGAAAGCACTTTAGTCTACCCTACACCCTATAAAAAGTGGTTTTTATCTTTTAACGCATATCAACATAACAACCACTTTGGGAGGTGGTTTTTGAGGGTTTTATCCACCGAAAAAGCTGGTCTGAACGCTAAGGTTTTATTGAACCGGTTTGTGGGTCATAATTCCGGGGTCAGCATCCTGGCCGTGTGCGACCTGCAAGCTTTTTTGATTGCGTTGTTTTGACCAATTTGTGTTTCCACTGTTTTTCCACGGTTTCTCTTCATTTTGCGATGGAATCAGCATACGCAACCTGGTCAGCGGACGAGGCAATGTATCTACATGCAGAATTTTAAGTCATTAAATAAATACCAGGGCTCCGGATCCCAAATTGTACATTTTTTTGCCAGAAATGGCCAAAACTCTAAATAATATTACATACAGCCTGTATACAAAAATAAAATTTCTAAGGGCATTTGACAAATCTACCTTCAGGGAAAATTTAATGTTATTTTGTGATGTGTAATCATGTGTTGAATCCATAAAAATCATCAAGCCATCTGTATATTTCATAAGGACATGTAAAAAAAACTCCTTTCTTCTCTCTATCTCTCTCCCTCTTTCTCTCTCTCTCTCTCTCTATATATATATATACGAGAGGGAGGTAGAGAGGTAGATAGATAGATAGATAGATAGATAGATAGATAGATAGATAGATAGATAGATAGATAGATAGATAGATAATATTATTAGATAGATAGATGGATGGATGGATGGGTAGGTAGATAGATAGATGGATAGATAATATTATTAAATGGATGGATGGATGGATGGGTAGGTAGACAGATAGATAGATAGATAGATAGATAGATAGATAGATAGATAGATAGATGGATAGATAGATAGTACCGCTACTTATCACACGGACCGGTACAACCGTATCGAATCACGGCCCAGGTATGGCATAAATATATATGCAGAAGAGGGGGGGGGGTGAATCTAATTCAAGTGGGTATCTGAACAATAACATTGCAGGGTTTGATCTATATTGCACCGAGGTAGTTCCAAGTATTAATTTATATATGACGGAGAGAAAACCGATATTAACAATTGCAAAAGATGAGTTAACTCTTATCTAACACGTGCGTCTTTACAGTTTGTTATACAGGAAACTAGCGGACACATATTGGAATCTTCCGTCAACCGGCGTCAACACCTTTGCACTGGCCTCAACTTTTTGTGACAAGATCTCCATGTATGGTTACTACCCCATGTCCACCTACCATAACCAGAATGTACCTTACCACTACTATGGTGATCCAGGATATTATGGTCCTGCGCATAAAATGGAGGAGGAATTCGCCATGTTTCAGGATTTTCATAGTCAGGGTATAATAAGGCAAGTCATCGGCAAGTGTGATTCTGACTGAACTCAGACCACATCTCTACCACACGCAGTAGTCATCATTACCTACATTTTCTTTAACTGATTTTATTAGTTTGCACATTAAACAAAACAGACAGTAATAATACAAAACAAGGATAAAAACAGGTGCACGAGGAGGGGAGAAGCATGGAATGCTTATACAAGACCCTCCTCCTCTAAACTATACAAAATTAAATATAATCAATAAATGGAAATAATACAATAAAATGGAAATAATACAATAAAGATAATGAAATAATATACGGTATTAATTAATGACAATGAAATAAGGTAATGTAAGTTATAAATGCAGTGCAATAATGACTGGGATAGCTGGAGACTACTAAACCTTATTACGAATACGTTTGTGTTATCATGAGGCATGTGACATCAGTATGACATAATTTAAATGCTACACAGTTGTTTCTTTCGTAAAACAATTATATACAACCAAGCTATAACCAAAACTGTGTGTGTTACAATGTTAACTTCTGTTGATACTTCTGTAGCCCTTGGCAACAACATCTAGTAGTAATAGAGATTTAATGTTTCCACCGTCTTGGATGGACAATCTTAAAAATACATATACATATATGGTCCAGCTAGTCCGATAACAAGAAGCAAAACAAATAAACTTTTTTTGTTATAAAAATAAGAAGTTGCGATTTTTCTTTTAGTAAAATAAACTAAATATAACTGAGCTAGTGACGTGGTTCAGCATTTTTGGTTTAAAGAAAATTAAGTCAGAAGCATTTTAATAAAAAAAGTCACAATAATTCAAACGTTGCTTTATATAAAAAATTTGTGTAGTTAAAAATCTAAACCGTTCAAACCAAAATTATCAAGTTTTGCAAAGAATTTATTAAACTATAATGTTGCCACCGAATTCATCATCAACTAATGTCACTGATATAAAAATGTTGCCAGAGATAACCTAGGAAAGTTTAAAAGTTATGATGCAAACCGTTTGATAGGCGGAGGTGTTGTGTCAATAACAGTGCCAGTCGCGTTTTGTGTCTGAGCGGGCACAGAACATGACAAAGCCTATCACTGTCAAGTACTGTGACAAGAAGTACTGTCAATCATGGTTATTCACCCCCCAAGTACGGAACAGGACAATATCATTGTGTGTTTTAAACTGTACAGGTTAGCGTTTTGTTGTATTTCTCAGAATTTTACGAAAAAAAATATAATGACGGTTTTGACACTAAATGTTTAATTAATAGGACAACTTAGAGACGAAATATAATAATATGTAAAAGTTGGCGCGGGCACTTGAAGAAAGCCCCTGACTCATGTGTATAATTTAAATTTTATTGTAAAATTTAGATGACCTAAACATTTGCCTTCTTATGTTTGTCTATACGACTAAGTATTTATAAAATGTTTCGTGTTGATTATACTTATAGCATTCTTGTTTTAACCCTAAACAGTACACCTGGGGTCCGCGCGGACCCCAGCACTATATATTCTGTAATATCTTTTTTGTTTCTAAAGATTTGTTTCTAAAATTTTAGGTAATTGTCACCCACAAAGTTGTCTCTCAATACAGTGCAGAAAACTCCGTTTCTACCATTTATAAAAAAAATTATATCTGATTTTCTTTTGGGGTCCGCGCGGACCCCAGCCGGCTTTCGATCATAATGGATACACTGGCGTTCTTATACATTACCTTATTTCCGTTTTGATATGTTTTTATGCACTCATCGTATGTCTACCAAGTTTTCAGAGAATGGTGTAGTAATAGAATTAAATTTTAATAACTTTGGTGTAATTATGACGTCATATGACGTCAGAGCTAATAATATAGTCCGCCATATTGGATTTTGACCAATGACGTCATCAAATTAGCATATTCTATGCATATTAAATGATTTAACTTATATTTAATTATGTAAGATGTTATTAATGTTGGAAAAGAAGTGTAATTTAATATAAAACTCAGAAAATGTTTATGTTTAAACCAAAATTACTTCTATTTTCAAAAAAACTGCCTGCTAGAAACCCGTTGCCATGGCAACACAAAAAAACATCAACTTACTAGTATTAAACTACTATGAACTTTTTTTCCAGAGACATTTTAGGAAAGGTCTCCAAATTTGATACTTCTAGCGCAAGCCGTTTACCCGCTATCTGAGATCAAAGTTGGGCCTCAAAAGCCCCTTCAGTCTAAAATGGGGTTTAAAAATCGGGTATTTCTTTTTGTTTTCTTTTCTTCACCAAAAAATAGCAAAAGTTCAAAATGTATGATTTTTGTATGTAATGTGGACACAGAGATTCCCACATCAGTTTGCAAAACAATTGAGCTGGTAGCATGTTGATAATTTCTAAAATAAGCAAAAAACTGTTCTGGGGTCCGCGCGGACCCCAGGTGTACAGATTAATCAGTCCGGGAAGGTGTACTGTTGAGGGTTAATAAAGTATTCTAGATGATCATATCGATGATAGATGACCGATTTTTTTAAGAAGAAAGGTCGACGTCATTAATATGTGTCAATAATTAAAACGTCATGTGTATAATATTCATTTTATTGTAAAATTTAGATAACCTAAAAATTTGCCTAATTTTATTAGTCTTTTCGACTAAGTGATACAAATATTTTGTGTTAATTATACTTGTAACATTTTAGTTTTAATGAAGTATTCTTGATGATCATATCGATGACTGATGAAAGAAAGTCAACGTCATTCCAACATTTCTGCGAACTTACCATTAAGTAGCTTAGACAAAACAATTGAAACAATGTAAAATAAAACACATAAACAGCTCTTTAGTTCTGTGATTCGTACAGAATATTACATTTTGTATAAGAACACAATTCCCTACCTTTCTCCACCTCCCCGTGACGCTCCATAGATGTAGAAGTGGCTGGATAAAGTAAAGTAAGTATAGACTCTGAGCTCTGTCACACAGAAAGTAGGATAGAACCTATTGCTGTGGTGTATGCCGATTCCCCAAACTAAATTACCCTTAAAGCAAGTTTCGGATAAACTAAAGACAAGAAAACTATATTGGTCTGTGTCGGAAGTTTTTTGTGTAAAAAGCGGAATTATTGGTCTCGCAAGTTGAAATAGTGCATTTTTTTGCGATTTTTCGACCTAAGGAACGCTTTAACTTTGAAATGTAACGGAAAGAAATGTCCGACTAACATTTCAATTTTGTTACAATGTTCTTTACAATGCAAAAATCGAGGATATTTTAGAAATTTGAGGGCACTTTAAACCAGTTATTAGTTGTTAACTATCGATTGAAAACTTTTAGAATAAGCATTCTACGGGCCTTAGGATTAATTTTACACTCATTTAGTGCTATAATCAAAACAAAAACAGTTGAGGTATCTGCAATACTAATTTTATTACATTTGGACAAGAGAGTCCCTGTGAAACTGTTTATTATTTCAAAGAAAATATTTACGGTTGAGACTGGCTACATGGAAGCCGGCAGCGGAACCCCGGCTATCCACCTGTACCCGATTAGGCTGCACCGGGCCCTATCCAACCTGGTTAAGATGGCCAGGCGGGCCAAGCACAAGGGAGTCCTGTTTCTATGTTCTGTTTGAATTCGTATCTTTGTAATTACTAATACTTGTGCCAAATCTCGTTAAGAGCGTCGAAAGTAATATGTTCAGAAATTATGTTGTTAGCTTCTCTTTTTTGTGTTGCGGAGCAAGCTAACTTAGGTCCCTTAAACACTTTAGGTTACTTTGCAAATGCGTGTACAAAAGCACCGACATTTCTTAGGTTACACCGTGTCAAAGCACACAGGATAGAATTTCTGCATGCCCCTGTTAACCGCTTTGTCTGCGGCATTGTTGACACTAAATAGCTGCTGCTGGCGTAGGGCCATGAGAACACGAATTCTTTCTTTCAAGACGGCACAGTTATGGTATATGGACCAGGGACAACATAGCAGTTACACAACAGTGCTAGAGCAGATCCAGAGACTAGATAAAAATATATGACCTTTCATATGACTCACCCTAGATATACGGGGCAATTGGGAAAACTGGGTGCCACAATGGCAATTATGTGAAATTCAGACCATGGACTTTAACTAAGACACAGGAGAGATAATAAGTAAACAAGTTTGAACCGGTTGTGTCGGTGTAATTATACCAGTCGTCAGGTAACGTCGTCGGGTCATGGCCCCAGCAAAAAGCTGTAACTGCGCATGCCGTCTGTCTTCTTTGTAAACATGGCCGGGGTCGTTGGATGGATAACTGAGTCCTTCCTGGAGATTCTTCAGATTTCTGGACTGACTCTGCAGTCCTTTTTCGTCTTCTGTGTGGCCTTTTTCCTGGCGTGTTTTCTGTTGAAAAGCCGCAGAAACCTGCCTACCTACCCGGCAGGACGTGTGCCTATTCTCGGGCACCTTCTCGCCTTGGGACGAGCGCCTTACCTCAAGCTGACGGCGTGGAGGCGGCAGTACGGGGACGTCTTCACCGTCAGGATGGGGATGGAAGATGTGGTGGTTCTGAACGGCTACACTGCCGTCAAGGACGCGCTTGTCGACAGGTCTGACCTGTTCGCCTCCAGGGCGCAAATTTACCTGGCTGATGCAATAGTTGGTTTTGGAAAAGGTGAATTTCTTTTTATCATCTGATATAATTTTCCTCGATTAAATCTTCTTTGCACTCCCATGTCACAAAACTACGACATTCTAAGGACGGTCGCGAATAGTTTGTTAGTCTCGTAACGGAAATGTTTACCATCTTCCTGGTGTGCTGATTGTATTTAAGTATATTCAAGACTTGATATGCATGGTATTGGATTACATGTGAAAGCCATGTTGTTCCTGCAGACATAGTAACTGCCCGCTGGGGGGCGGAGTTTAAACAGAGAAAAAGGTTCGCCACCGCCGCTCTGAAGAACCTCGGCATGAAGGTCGGAACTGGCAGCATTGAGGAGAAAATCGCAGAGGAGGCAAGCTGTCTCCGCAACAGGGTAAGACAAAAGTAAGAATGAACCAAGCAAAACAATTTCCTGGACTTTTTTATCGCTCGGAAAACATCTTAGCAATTTATTTGTGTGATAGTATTGAAAGCATTCCCATGGGCAGCATGTCGATAGTTTATTATCGAGTATTTTACATTCTGTTCTGAATGTTTTGTAGTTCCTAGTTACCTTCACCAGATGGTCATGTGTTTAGGTAAACCGTATATACGAAGCCAAGCCAAGATAGACTATACAGGGGCTGTTGATTTTGTAATCGGTTAAAACTTATCTTAATGATATTTGGAAGATTTTGATAATCTAGGTGTTTATCAAGGTACTGCAGTGGGGTACACAGTACTATGATAACTCGTGTTGTGGTCTTAGAGAGTGGGACATAGATGTTTTGGCAGTAAATATCTGACGTGGTGTTCAGCAAAATAGCTGCTTTTGAGCTGCTGTTGTCTTTTCTATGACGGAATGTGACTAGACGGGATAACTTTGTGATGCTGTGGATGCTTTTTGATAGTTTTAGTAGGTAGCTTGTAGTTTGAAAACAAAGGCAAAGTTTGAATTAGCGCATTGTTGTTGCTTTCCAAGGCATCATGGTGCGGCCGTCGGGAACGTTCAGTAGCCTTTTCGGTTATGATCGGAGTGCCTTCGGTCGCGTCTCGGTAATCGTGACACTGCCGAGCGTTCCCGACGGCCGTACAGGATATCCCCGGCTATATACAAGATGGCCGCCCGGTTCGTCCACTAACGTGGTTCCCGGTCGCGCTGTGGAATATTTAGGCCGAACTGAACATCGGTAACACGGCCAACTGTGGTCTTTTACTGTAGCAAAGCTCGGAACAGCATCGGAAAATGTGCAGTTCTGCCAATGGATCTTTCCACGACTCTTGCTGAGGGTAAAGAAATGTAAGCCCGAATCAAGAGTCTCTTCGGCTAGGTCTAGATAGGGTTAAACGTACACCATAATGGCTCCTACCAGCACAGATGCAGTATCAAGATAAAATTCTGTTTAGACTAGAAAGGCCAACATTTGCTTCGGAGCAAATGTAATATTTCACTCCATCTCCCTCCCCATACAAAAATAGAAGATTCTGAATAAATCATACTGCAATCATACAAGGACAAGCTTTTTGAATCTCGACAGATATTTACAAAAATGGCACTTGGCCATTATCTCCCTTTTTTTTAAAAAGATACAACGACAAGCACTTTAAATCTCGACAGCTTTACTTTACACTTATCTCAATTTCAAAGTTACATATTGCAGGTATCTAAATACTACTAATGACGAAATTGCAACTACTACTAACGGTAGCAAAATTTTCACGGTCTGAGAAACATGGACATGTTCACGGAACTATATATTCACGGTGGTGACAGTTGCAGGAAAAAGAAAGTCCAGGAATTATTTCCTAACTGTAAAGATAAGTTCACGGTACAGAGGTGACAGTGAAAACCGTGAACATTGACCTCCTGCTTGCGTTACGTTGCGGTACAGTGAAAAAAAATCGGGAAAAAAAAAATCGGGAATTACAGTAATCAATTTACAGAGTATGTTTGCTTAGTTTCCAGATGTTTCGTATGAATGTCGTAAACTTAGTTTTAAATTAACGAAAACCGATGCGCGCACAGATGCCATCCATACAATCAAATCAACATGGCCTTATTAACAATCACATAAACTATGAAGCCATACATTGAATAAGCTATACATATAATATGATTATCATAACCTTTATTTTAAAATCATGCCAGTGAGCTAATTGCATGTACAGAGTGAAAGAAAGTAAAGTAAAGTAAAGCAGTAGAATTTCTGTACTAAGCTATGATAGTACTCCATATGATTCGTCCTCATCGTCATCATTCAATGTGGTCTATCTCTTGCTACTAGTGACTGGTAATACCTCTGTAGATTCTTCACACTGGCAGAGTACCGTACTCATTCTCTCTTGTCAGCTCCATACTTTTGTGACAACATCAAAGTGATTTTGGTTTGTATGTTGGAAAAATACAAAAGACTAACATTCTAAGTTATTGACATTCTTGAGTAAGAACAATCAGTTTTTGAATGTTAAAAGCAAAACAACGAAAATCAAAAAAAATAGTTGAAATTGTAAAATGCAGGATTGTTAAAATTGTTAAAACTAATAAAATTATTAAAACTGATAAAATTGTTAAAAATGATAAAATTGTTTAAAATGTTAATATCCGATGCACTGGGGTTCGAACTCACAATTTCTGGGATTGCCGTCTGGCGCGTTACCAACCGAGCTAACTCGTTGCGATACACATCACTCACTGCATTGTATGTCATATAAAGTAAACAGCATGGCGGTATCGATCGCCTCAAGCCACCAAGACTTTCAACTATTAACTACGGGGTTTCCTTCTTTATCAGGTTTGCTTTTGAACCACCTTGATGTTACTTAACTATCAACCCGGCTAGCAGAAGCCGCCGGCTCCTTTGATATTACAGCCGCTCCCTGTCCAATCTGTTTACACGCCGGGCGCAGGTCATTGACCTCCAACTTGCGTTGTTCCAACAGAGAAGAGCAAAATGTCTGGCTCCCGCAGAACGTACCGCACTCTCCCGCTGGACGTACCGCACTCTCCCGCAGAACGTATCGCACTCTCCCGGAGGACGTCCCGCACTCTCCCGAGGGAAGTCCCGCACAGCGTCCTGCACTCTCCCGCAGAACGTCCCTCGAAAATTGATGCGTATTTCGTGGCCTGTGCTGTACCTACCAAAACACTTGAGTTCATACTGTCAAAATGGAATGGCTTTGAACAGGTGTTAATTGAGTTAATCCAATCAAATCCAACAGCCAATCAGCAAGAAGAAAAGATTAGGCTGCGTCAGGTTCATGCTTGCATGCCCATATTTGGGCCCGCCCCCGAATTCCTTTCTTATTACGTCACGCGCGTACGCCCCACAGTACTTTCCTATGGGAACAGCTAAAAACGCAAATAAAACGATTGTAAAAGCTTGTATCAAAAAAAATAAAAAAACGCCTAGAGGTATTTACCCACTCTACCTTTATACGAAATTCCAGGTCGTTTGGCCCAAAAATGAAGGAATTGAATCAATTTAAAGAAATGGCAGGAGGAGAAGAAGAAGAAGAAGGAGGAGAATCATCAGTAAAAACAGTATTTCCCTCCATACTTAAGTATGGAGTGAAATAATTACAGATTACAATGGGAAGCTCTTCGACATCACCCATGATGTTACTGTAGCGGTTGCAAACGTCATCTGTTCCATGGTAATGGGGAAGCGATATGACTACCAGGACGAGACGTTCCGAGAACTGGCAGAGGCTGTTGTCACAATCATGGCTGGACTTGGAGGAGGACAGATCATCAGCGTCTTCCCCGTGCTACGGTTTGTTCCTGTGGGTGGGTACAATACTGAGATTTCATTTTTAATTCAGCTCATTGGCCATTCTTTCATACATCATATTACTATTTATCATTTTAGCACAGAACTGCTTGGAGAAGCCAGTGTACACTGGGCACTAGGCCAACAGAGCAGCTGCCATAAAGGAGAAAGAGAGGAGGAAACAATGCTCCATCCCTTTTCATTCCTTCCCTTGCAGCATCTGCGGCCGCTCATGTGCGTCGAAAATTAGTCTTTATTCCCATATGAGGACCCACTTCGGCAAATGATGACCTGTACGCCTACTCATCTGTCGCAGCAATAGGAGAATCCAACATCATCATAGCAACATATGATGATAGTCCGTTGAATAGCTTTTATCACTTAGTCTGGTCGGAAATTTGAGGGAAGTTGCTGAGCAATTTTGCCACCGAAACTCTGCATTCATGTGCGATTATTTTTCTTGTATTTTACAGTGAACAGAGCCGGCATAAATGCGCTAGAAGAGGTCCCTAAGGTCCTAAATGTGTTAAGAGAGGAGCTATCTCGCCATCGCGAGAACCTGGATCGCGAGAACCCGCGAGACTTCCTGGACTTCTGCCTGCTGGAGGTTGAGAAGCAGGAGAAGGTGGAGGGTCTGACGGAGGAGAACGTCATGTACATGGCCCTGGACCTCTTCTTGGCGGGAATAGACACAACCACCAACACACTAATGTGGAGTCTGCTCTATATGATTTTGAACCCTGACATCCAACATAAGGTATAGATCAGCATTACACATGTTACCCTGTCGGGTTATGCCAAACTCCGTACGGTCTGGCAAAGATCATGGCTTCATTTCGTTTTTTTAACGGCATTTTACCTTCCTTACCATTTACTGCCTATCTGCCAGCTAACTCTGTATTTTGTACGACCTCTAGGACATGTCTGTTAAGGGTTGCCTCAATACAATTCAACATTACCAGGTACAGCAGGAGCTAGATGCCGTTGTTGGTGAGGGTCTGCCCGCCCTGTCCCTCCGTTCCCAGCTGCCCTACGTGAACGCCTGTCTGCTGGAGGTCATGCGGATCCGGCCCATCGTACCTCTTTCTCACCACGCCACCACAGAGTCGGTTAAGGTGCAGCAATACGGCATTCCGAAGGGAACACAGGTAATGTTACCGATCATAAGGCCACACCAATTTAATTTGTTGGTTCTCGGATTTTTTCAGAAAAAATATGAAGCGACAGGGCGAAAAAAAATAAAAATAAAAACAGGTCTAGGCATCCTATTAAAGGCTTAAATGCTACAAAATGAGCCATGAAGTCAACACAAAAGGCTGGGTTAAAATTTAAACATTGAATTTTGAACTTTTAATCAAACCACTGCAATGATAGATGGGGAAACTGTAACAACTAGGAAGAAAAGGACTTTCCTCAACTGTTGGGGGGCAAAACATGAGCATTTTTCAGTTGATTCAGGACCAGAATCATTTTTTTTTGCAAATCAGAAAAAAACGAAGAGGCGAATCCGAGAACCAACAAATTAAATTGGTGTGGCCTAAGGTCGCAACTTCTTTGACGTTGCAAAAATGGTCCCTTTATAGTGGTTGTATGACTTCTCTTCTTCGCAAGCTCCGAAGAGAACTATGTTTCCCGTCTATTTTACAGACAAACACACAAAATTAGGGTAGTGAGCTCACCGTCCAGTGAGAGGTTGAGCCACGAATGACCTTAAGAGGATCAGGGAGGAAGGGTCAGAGGGTAAAGGGGCGGAATAATTAGTATCAGGGCCTTCGGTCACATGATCTGTCTGTTCAGCCGACGGGAAACGAGATTTATCATTTTGAGCGAGAGAGAAAAAAAATGTAACTCATTCATACAACGTTATTTTTGCGCGTGTGTTTGTGTGTTTGTTTTTTTGTGTGTGCACGCGAGCATATCAAGATTTTTTTTTCATTTTCTTTTGACCCAGGTAGTACTAAACCTGTACTCCGTCCACATGGACCCCGCCTACTGGCCTGATCCGGACCGGTTTGACCCCGGGAGGTTTCTAGACGCAGAAGGAAACTGCAGGAACAAGCCCGAGTCGTTTATGGTATTTGGGGGAGGTAAGGGTCCAAGATAACATATACGTATTAAAACCACAGTAATGAATTAACAATTTCTATAAGACAGTGGCAGTCTTACAATTTGGTCTCCTTCTGTCTAGGCCGACGCGTTTGTCTTGGAGAGCAGCTGGGCAGGATGGAGATCTTCTTGTTTTTTTCGACCCTGCTGCAGTCGTTCAGTTTCAGGACGCCAGAGGGCGCTCCTCGTCCAACCACTGACGGCGTGTTTGGTTTGACACTGGCGCCGCACCCGTTTAAACTCTGTGCGGTTCCGCGTTAGTTTATTGTCTTCGCCAGAAGAGTATGTATCTGGTTTAGCTGTGTTGTGGGTCCATATGTAGGTCATCGGTATTGGTAGACATGGGATCTAGTTAACTATACTGTACAGTTATGCAAAACTATTCTTACTAAGTTTGTATTCTGTCAACTAACGGTTTTCTCATTGGGTATGGAAAATGGCTTTGTAAATAAACGTATTCCATAGTTTTAAAGCTAAATACCGGTAGCAACTATACGGCTTATTATATAAAACTTTAGTTTAATCGACTAAATGATGTATCGTTTTGATAATTATGTCTCTTTGTGTGCGTGCGTGCGTGAACGTGTGTATGTTACTGTAACTAACGGTTTTCTCATTGGGTAGAGAAAATGGCTCTCCAAATATACGTATTCCATAGTTTTAAAGCTAGATACTGGTAGCAACTATACGGCTTATTATATAAAACTTTAGTTTAATTGACTCAATGATGTATCGTTTTGATATGTTTGCGTGCGTGCACGTGTTTATGTTATTGTAAGTGTGCGTTAAGTTTTCGTGTGTGTGTGTTTTTGTGTTCATATATATTTGTATGCGTGCATATATATCTTTGTGTACATGTACATGTTTTTGTGTGTGTGTTCATGTGTGTGTACGTTTCAGTGTGTGTTTATGTAAGTGTATGTGTGTATGCGTGTGTGTGTAATATGTGCACACCTAAATATTACACACACACACACGCATACACAAATTTGTGTACCTGCCATACCTGTGGTACGGTGTAAACGAGTAGGCTAACTAAGGGGTGGGAGGGGGGCGAGATCTAAGGAGGTGGGGTGAAATCTCTAGCGATCTCTGGCGAAATCTCTGGGGGTCGAGATCGCTGTGACACCGACATGGCCACCTGTCACACCTCATGCCCGTAGCCAGGGGGGGGGGTTCAAGGTTCAAAGGTCCAATTTTTGGTCCACTTTTTATGTTAAGGTCCACTTTTTGGTCCACATTTTATGTAAAGGTCCAATATTTTCTTGAAAAGATAGACTGGAATCGTAGAAAAACTGCTCCCTTTGTCATTGAATAAAGATTTATCTCTGATTTCTTTTAAATCCTCTCAAAAACGCACGAAATGCCATTTTAGAAGGTTTATCTTTTAAAGTTTTGAAAGGGAGCATACCCCCGGATCCCCTAGGAACCTCGCGCCTACGGCACTACTACGGCACTCGAGGTCCCCTCAAGGAGTGGGAAGAACCCCCCATTCAAAATCCTGGCTACGGGCATGCACCTGTCCCAGCCCGGTCTGAAAAGGGTTAAGCTGTGAGGTTTGGATATATCCGGGATGCAGGGACACGGTGTGTTTACAGGGCCGGGATATATCCGGGATCGGGGTATATCCCAGATAAAAGCAACACAGCGCTGCTAATCGCAGTGGAACCCGGAAGTAAGCTTAAAGGTGCGCGAGGTTCCAGCAGGAAGTAGAGGAATTGTGGGGCTCACGTAAAACAACTAGTCTGTTGTCCGAGACGGGACTTTTTACTCTTAGAAGGAGTAATAATGCGGTATAATTTAAGACCGGAGTAGATATTAGGGACGAGAGGTATTTAAAAAAAAAGTTGTAGACTGAGCTTTCTTCTGAATAGTCAGCTCAATACCCTGGACAGTCACTAGTCAGAAACCTTGTCGAGTTTTTTTTTTTTTGCTTTATTGCTAAACAATCAATCAGGCAATTGAATGTATTAGTTAGACATTTTAATAGTTTCCACCACTACATAGTAACTAACCACGTAGTCCTTTGACCTCCTAGGGTTTTCGGGGGGGGGGCACTAAAGTGGAAAATGTGTGCGTTATTGTGTTATATATTTGTGTTACCTACAGAGTTTAATTTGTGAAGTATGTATCTGTTCAAGAAAGTACAAGGTGTAATATTTCAGCTGTTATTATAATTAAAAAAATAGTATTTTCTCCGAAAGGAGTATACAACTCATGCCCCTGCAAAGGTATTTGAGTGAGCTGACCTGATAGCCAGTCCATGTAGACAAGGCGTACAGGTCGGTCTTTTCCCTAAACCCCGCTGGCGACCCCCGGGTCTGTGACGCGGGTATAGAAAGTAGTGCAGCGAATATTCTTGAAGGCTGAGTAGAAAGCCTGATAAGAGCGTCAGCCAGATGTAAATTGTGCTGTGTGGTGTAGGAATGTATCGAGTTTGAGACTGTATGGTTTGAATTGTGAAGGTTTTGCAGTTCATGTATAAATGCGCCGTATTGCGCAACTGGCTTTCCGGGTGAGTCGGTTGCAGTTCAGGTCACGTCCGTAGGAGGCGATTTCAAAGTGTACGTTACGAGCAGACACTCCGACAGGATTTGTTCGTTTCTAGATATTTTGTAGTTTGTACCTTCTTCTGAAACATATTCAATTTTCGTAATTTGTGAAGTGCACCCTGCTATAATTCTTACCTCGTCGATGTGAGTCATCTTGGGGTTCTTAACTGTAGAAATCCCCATAGGGCGAAAACTGTGTTCTGCTACCTTGTTTGTTTGGGGGTGGGGGGTGGGGGTAGAGCAGGTGTATATAAAATAAAGATGCATCCTGTTTTACGTTCGGTAGTTTACATTAGGATTGGCTGCAAGACAAAGCAAAGCTTCGGGTTGATAGCCACGCCACTGAACAGAAGGTGCTTTCCTACAGGTATAGTCATTCTTTTAAATTATTTTTTTCGTGTACCTGCTTTATACGATTGACAACATTAACCCTCTAGGCAGCTAACAGTTTTGTATGTCTGTTTTGCTGATTTGTTTTTGCCAGTAGACGGCGTAACAAATAAGGTTGGTCTCTAATATCAGAACAAATCATCGATCAAGAAACAGCGTACCTTTAGCATAATCTACTAAAAGGGAGAAATCTGCATCTGGGCTACTAGTTAACGTGACATTTTTAAAACTGCATCAAGGAGCAAACAAATGGCGTCAAATACATACATGTACAGGTAAACGCAACATTTTTATACCCCTGTCAAGTTTTCAAACATTTTGTTCTCCCTAACCCCCCTCCCCCCTTTCCACCATATAGCCATTCTTTATGGATCTAAATTGTAGTTGTGTGTCCTCTTATTTTATAGGTTTAAATCTGTAGAATAAGGAAGACAAACAAAAATAGTTTTTGGAAAATATGTCGCTGCCTTTTAGGCAGGAAATAACCATGGCTGATGCATATCAGGACAATAATTTTTTTTCTCTATCTGACACGATTGACTTGTCTTTTTTATGATCTGTAAATATAACCGGCTTTTCTTTAATGTCACATTTTGTCCCTAAATTGAATTGTAAACATGACAATTTTCAACCCTCACTTTGGTGCAGGCATTGGAAGGGACGGAATACTCGGAGTATGGGGACTCCAGGTTGTCTAATGGAGGGGGGGGTCAAGGGGCAGCTTGTACAATCAGGATCCCCTGTGTTAAAACATATCTACATGGGACATAGCTGTCACATGGTATGGTATAAGTATGGGAGCGTGAATGCAAATTGATGTTTGTTACAAATTGTACTGATGTGCAGTTATACAGATATGTAAACAAGCATGACACAGCGAGAGCTAGGCAATCTTCATTTTTATTTTCAAGAATGTAAATCTGTGCTTACGAACGTTCGAACTTTGATCGATCTGACTAAGGTTCCTACTGTACATTATTTACAGCATACTTCTCGGATACGACACAGTAGTGGCCAAATATTGGACATGAAAACAAAGAACATTTTGGAATCTTACATAAAATCTTACAGATCTATTACGTACACCAAATCTAACAAACCAAGTACCTAAAGTAACCTGATTTTATCACAATTATTGAACACATAATTAAATTGAGAAAAACAAAAAGACCTTTCAAAAGCAAAAACTTTCATCAAAAGAAAAAGCGAAGACCTTTCGAAAGCAACACTTTTATACAATACCACAACTGCTCCTTAAAAAGGGGGCTATTTTTCAAATATTACATCTTACATATTACATAATTTAGATGCAGGAAAAAAAACAACGACTCTTTCCAAATGTTACATCTTACATCCTACACACACGGGTAATTAACCACTGTGCTGAATTCATCAAAACGGGTGAGGGTGTGATGATTCCACACTGAATCAATCTTTTTTTAAATTAAATTTGGTATCCATATGCAAAAACAATTGACTACATTAGTGTCTTTCCGAAATAGGATCATTTTTTAAAAAACACTAAAAAATACTGAAAATATATCTGTATGGGGGTTCTTAGAATACTTAAAATTGAATATACTGACTTACGTAACCATGTGAATGCTGCTATTTGGTATATTTTATATTAGCGGATTATCACTGACAAACAGCATTTTGTTTGTAGACAACATAGATAACAATAATCTGGGGTCTGCATGAGGTTTCGAAGAATACTTGAAATTGAATTAAATGATTTTGCACGTAAATGATGATAATTCGCACACCTTTCATTTAAGAGCATTACTAATAGCTAATTTAGCTGTTAGTAATGCTCTTTGTACAAACATGGCTAACTTGAAGTTTGTGTGTAGACAAAAGGATTCAGAATGCCTTTTGGCTCTGCATGGGGTTATTCTCTGTCAGTCAGTCTGAAAAAACTAAGACTAACTGCGCAAGCAAACAGCTGGATGTCTAATTCCTATTAAAGGACAAATTGAATTTAAACCTGAAGTATTTACACAGGTTAAAATTAATAATGTCCAAAATCGTGATGAGAGTCCATTCATTGCTAATGAGGCATGCCTGGAGGCAGTGGCAGTGTAACGTCGGCGCGCACTTTTATCATCTCAATCTTTCCACTCCCTGTGCACAGCGTCACAAGCTTTTCCATCAACATCCGTTTGGAGAGTATCTTTATGCCTAACCTGTCTTACCATTAGACGCTCAATGAGCCTAACAGATATGGGTCTGGTTCTGGGTGCACAGAAAATCTTTCCAATTGTAAATTCTGAAAACTGCAAGCCATAACCTTCAGGTGAAAACCTGCCATTAAGTCGCTGAAAACATCGTCAATTGTCTCGTGTTTTCATTGTCATATTAGGGTCATCTATAATCTTAATGGGGCCCATCACCCTTCATTGGACGGCGACGGTGGCCGACATCGTCTAACACATTTAACGCAGTGTTGACGTCACACTTCAAAGAAGCCACGTGACAAGCTTCACTGGGTCAGTCTACTGAGGAAGACCAGAGTGACTGGTCGCAAGATCTAAGTGAGAGAATTTTTTGTGTTGGACCAAAAGTTTTAACTTTAAAGATATATGATCTTAATGGTTTAGACAAGTTTTCGATGTCTGGTTTCTTACTACTCAGTCCTAGGTCCACCATGGCGAAGGTGTTCAAGAAAGATTCCAACATCTCCCCAGGCCCAGGCAGCGACACTGACGATAGTTCAGGAAACAGCGATGCTTATTTCTTGGTACGATTGTTGCGTTTATGCACTTTTCATTAACGTTAATATAGGTTGTTGAACATTCTTTAATACAGTCCTACACACACAGTTATCAATATAGTTCATTGACTATTGAAAGTGAGATAGATTAATGCATGTCTATTATTACAGCAATGTATGTTTATTATTAAAGCAAGTCATAACACAAGCCGTATGTATGTGTTATATTCATAAAGAAATGATTATAATAACTAAAGCTAAAAGCATGCTTTTTACTTTTACAGGATGACTTTGTGGTGGAAACAAATGTCCCGGATAAAGTAAGCGATAAATTCTACCATTTCAACTCCAAAGACCCCCCCCCCCAAAGGATGTCAATTGACAAAAATGTAAGCTTCTATGGGATAGATTGTTCGTCAGGCAAATTTCAGTCCACGTTGTTTTATAGTACTGGGGTTTCAGGGCAGCCAGCAAACACCAGTCTATTGTACTGTATACCGTGACAGAATTCCATTACAATACTAGAAAGGCCGACATTTGCTTGGGAGCAAATACAGCATATTTCAGTCCAATATTGCAAATAGTGTGGGTCATTGCGCACGACGTACTTGCAACGTGACCCCAGGTAACCTGCAATTGAGCAGGTGTTCGATGGCCAACGGCAGATGGAACAGGCCATTCTTTGGATAGAGAATGGAACGGGTATATCACTTTCGACCCTTTTTTGGCTGAAAAAGGCCATTAAAGTCCCCAAAATGAGTCATTTGAAAGTGGTGTATGTCAAATATGTGACTGCAATTCTGTATGCACACGTTCAAGGTATCATTCTCCCGAATTTCAGATCATTTGTTTGTAATACAAGGGCTCAGGATCCAAAAGTCCACTTTTTTGTCGAAAACTGCCCAAAAAAACCTTCATAAAAAATTTTCAAAGGCATGTATCAAAAAATGAAAAAATAAACGTCTGGGGTATTGGCCCACTCTACCTCCATGCCGAATTTCAGGTCATTTGGCTGAATAATGACTGAGTTGAATCCCTCTGACTAAGTGGCAGGAGAAGGAGGAGAAACATGAGTGAACACAACCATTTTACATTTAGACACGAGGATGAAATGCTAGTGCATTGTTGATGCAACTTTTTTTGTAACTGTTCTCTGTTTTATTGGCGATCTTTTCGTATATAGTTTTGTCATTTGCTTTAAGCTTCGCCAGTTTTAGTTTCTAATGTTGCATCTCAAGCCGACTCGTCCGATCTGGAAAGTCAACAACAACTTGCTGAGGAAGTACATTCCGTACAAGAACAAGCCCAACTGGTACATCGCCTCCAACTGCGTAAGTTGCTTGGTTAAAGCGTAGGTCAGCCCTTTAGATGGAAGAGGAGGGCTCAAGCAAAGTAAGGCATTTTGGTGTTTCAATTAAAATCAATATTTACACATAAGTTGCAAGTACATTTTATACATTTACATAAGAAAAATACGTTTAAGAAATCTTAAGAAATCGAGCATGTTACATCAGATTGCACTTCTAAAAGAGAACAGTCCTGAAGTACATTCCCAAGCCTGTGTGTTTCCGGCAGAGTGCACACTTTCCCAGTCTACTTTTAAGGTGTCTCACTTCACGGTCCTTATGGCTGACGGGACAGAGCGACTTCAGTTTTACAGTGTTCTTCTCCCCTTATTCTATCCCCTACTTCCAACTTTAACAGTCACAAGGGTAGCCCTTAGTAAGGTTATATCATCGCAGGCCTTCATACTTTTTTTTTTACAAAATATACCTCTTACTATGTTTAACAAATATATGTGCAACTAGAGTTCCCCGATCTCATACCTTCGCCAAATGATTATGACTGACAAATTATAGATTAGATGATTCCCCCCTGATTTAAGAAATAGGAACCTAATTTTCATGAATTATATCATTTTATCATAATCTCAACCAAAAGACAGTCTTATACTAACAAACAATGCATTCTAGAATTTCCTAATAAATTATGCAAATGAGGTCCTGATTTGAATAAATTATGTTTAATGATGTTCACCTCAACTAAACTTTCAAATACCACAAGTATGAAATTCCAGGCAGTTATCATTACATAATTATAAAACTTTCTCATTAATTATGCAAATTAAGTCATTATTAACATAATCACTATCTTCCTGTGTTTCTCTCGTTGTCAATTACCAATGTCACAAGCTTCAATTGTCCTATCATGGAATGCAGCTGATTTATAGAATTTCTCCATGAATTATGTAAATTACATCCATATTTGCATAATTGTCACATAATTATATTAAACATCAGGTAAGCTACCTACATTCCAAAAATCACGACGATCCGTCAAACGGTTCTTGAGTTATCCCCTTTTGAATAATTTCAAGAATATATCCCTGCAGTTGCAGAGCAAGGCGCTAAGGGGCCCAAACTCACGTCACTTCTTCCCCAGCACGAGAGCTACCTACCATCTAAATTTCATCACCCCAGCATGTCTGGATCATGAGATATCAAAACCGGAAGTTCAGCTGCAGTACCATAACAAGCCGCTAAATCAAAATCTAATCATTTTGAGGTCTCATCAAGACCTACCCACCTACCACGTATCAAAATAATTCATCAAGGCCTTCTCAAGTTATCGTGTTTACAGACACACACACACATACACGAACACCCCTGAAAACATAACCTTCTTGGCGAAGGTAAAGATCACTGACAGAATGCAAAAAGGAATATATATTTTAAAGAAACCAAACAGGGTCCATTTGGACCCCGTTCGGTCATTCCCGTCGCACAAAAGTTCGAGTGTTTGAGGGTTAACGTTAACACCTTTCACCTAAAAACGAGTTATTGTGCACACTATCTCTGATTTTGATATTAAACCACATTGACGTGTATGTTATGACTTGTTAAACTGCTCCTTTTTTAAATTGTAAACATATATAAAAGGCTGTAATAATTTAGCTGTAAGCTGTTTTGATACCAGTTGTTTTTAATGTGATTTTATCGTATTTCATTCCATGTCATACTAATGTTCTGAAATACGTGATCAAATAATCCTGAGTTCCATTCTATGGTCTTACAGTATCTAGGATTACGAGGGTGTGGGAAGAAATTCCGCGCGATCACAGCCAAATTCATTAGACTGGAGAAAAGAAAGCAGGTTGTGAAGATTGAAACGTCTCTAAAGCATTGCAGGAATGCAGGTAAGATTCGCAAATTTGGGGAAAGCTATTTTTCAGCACTACATTTTGGCATTTCGTCAATTGACATTTTACTGAATTATTTTCACACTTATGTCAACTAGTTATGTGTATAAATTACACTTGTTCAAACAGCTACGCACATGATTCTGTTATTAGAAGAGGCTAAAGAAGATATAAGGGAGGAGGAGTCCACTTCACCTCAGATTGACATCAGCATGGTTGAAGAAAGTAGGCGTCATCAGGAATTCACTACCGTCCCTGCTGATGGGATTGTCAATCCGTGAGTATCGACATTAACCTGTGATTGCACGCATTTGTTTGTTTATTTAGGTCTCCATTCATTAGTATGGAAGTCAACTCCATACTATTTTTCCTGGAGTCCGCGGCATAAAATGAAATAACAATAATAATAGTAATTGCTTTTAGCAATAATAATAAATAAAACATACAAATCATACTGAAATTATAACAAACTTGAAACAGAATCAATCATAGAGAAAACAAGTGAATTGGAGATCAGAGGTCAAATAATAGGAATAATATGTATGAAATGAAAGTAATAATTTATGTACTTTCCAATAAATACAAAATTGAAGTACCAAAACAGCAAACAAATATTTGAACTGACATAAATAATAACAAAAAATATGAATAACAATTGAATCAATATACACTCAACAAAATATGATTCCTTTCAATTAAATGATTAAATAATGACTACAAAAGAAGAGATCTCACTCAATACTTAGTGGAACAAAGGGATGAGAACATAATTTAAATCAATACATACTCGCCCACAACTAAATCTTGTTACCACCACAGAGCAAGGGGTGGGCCCTTGTCTATGTGTGTTTCTACCCAGTTATTTATTGTTATCTTAAAATTCGGTTGGTTTGCTATGATTATGTTGTTTGGTAGTTTGGCATTTCAATCGGGCACAGGTTCACTTCACATACAGCGAGGGTTATGCTTTAGCAAAGGGCAAAACCTATCAAAACTATAGGATGTCTGATTTGATTGATGTCTTATTATTTTTTCCTACTTGATGCAAAGTAAAAAAAAAAACATATATTTTTTTCAAAATATTCTGTCCTGATTGGTAGGTAAATATGACCTATGTCAATACATAACATGCATCGATATCGTTATATTATTCCTGGGAAAATTCAGCCAAAGTACAAAACATAGTTAACGTTATTTCGATAAGAAAAATAAGGCAGCCATAGTACAAAACATAGTTAACGTTATTTCGATAAGAAAAATAATGCAGCCATAGTGCAAAACATAGTTAACGTTATTACGATAAGAAAAAAAATAATGCAGCCATAGTACAAAACAGAGTTCACGTTATTACGATGAAAAAATGCAGCCATAGTACAAAACATAGAACAACAGTGGAAAGAAGGTGTTTACCTACAGATGTGTAAAGCTGTGGAATGCACTACCAAATGGGGTTAAGGCTGTATCCGATGAGAGTCGGTTGAAGAGATTGATCGATCAATTGTATAAGTATGCAACTTAATGGTTTTAATTATGATGATAATTGTTATATTGAAATCTTTTAGTAATGGTGATATTAGTTTTATACTTAGCCGATAATTTGCTCGTTCAATGATTTTAGCTATAATTAGTACCTTGTCTGACGTGTGACCTCAACGTGTATGTAAATTTGTAGTCATATGTGTATATTTGTAATGTGTGTGTAATGTGTAATGAGCCCTGAAGATTAGCCCTAACGGGCTAAAGGGTATCGTAATAACTGAAACTGTTATTACGATAAGAAAAAAAAAATCACTAACAGTTTCTGTCTCTCTTCAAGTAGCGTTCGGACGCCACCTATCCAGAAGCGCAAAAACTGCACCATTGCGTCCTTCACAGAGGTGCTCAGTCGGGACCCTGTTGTCTTCCCGGATGAGGAGAGCGATAATGAAGACTTGGATTGGGAGAGTTCATCAGTTATGGTGAGGCCTAAGAAATTAAAATTTAAGGATGGCGATCAGATTTTAAGCAATTGGCGTCTAGGCTTTTAAATTTAGAGTGTTCAATAAAATGAAACCTTTCTTTTTATTATGACTAGTTACTTCGTGGAGGTATACGTCCTGCAGAAGTATCCTGCAGAAGTGGTCAGACGGTTTTTCTTGTTCGCAGCTAGGGCTATAACGCAGAGTTCCCTCTGCTTTTTCGGCATGTAATTTTATACGTCGTCTGCAGGCATGCCCGCGATGATGCGCGTGTTTTTATTTGTACTGTAGCTGTTTTCGTGGTCAAGGATATATTTTAGATGTATCCCCCAAAATGTACGAGGTCGGTGACTTGAACCAGCCGTACGCCTCCTGTTGTTTATGTATCGAGGTTTATTTTTAAATGTGTTCGCAGCTAAACATATCGCAGCTAAAATATGGTTGTGTCCGTTGTATATCTCTGTAATTGGGCATGTGGTGTGTCATTATGTTCGTGATGATGCACTTTTTTTTCCTTTTCAGTTTTCATATTAAGTAAATGCATATTTCAGAAATACCCCTTCTTTTATAATCCTGTGGAATAGGCCAAATGTTCAAGAAGTTGTCTGGTAGAAAAGGTTCTCTAAGCAGAATTAGGAGTCTGCTTTATATAATGGTGACGAGTATCTGTTTGGATTGTGGTCTGCACCTACAACGATACATTGTCAAATGAATAATATGTAGTAAATGAAAGATATTGTTATGAAAGATGACTTTGTTAATCTATTTAGATTGTAGTGTTGTTTATCTCATGCAGCCTGTGTTTACACAAGCGTTCGACCGGGAGTTAATTACCACCAAAGGGGGCGGCAAACTTCGGGCGGGTGGCCACCAGGAGCGAGATTTATTTGTAGTCGGGCTATATCATACGTTACCATGAAAGTTCATCTGTGTTGGTAGTTACATGTTTAAAGTTAAAACTTTTGGTCCAACACAAAAAATTCTCTAACGTAGAGCTTTCGACCAGTCACTCTGGTCTTCCTCAGTAGACTGATCCAGTAAAGCTTGCCACGTGGCTTCTTTGAAGAGTGACGTCAACACTGGGTCAAAGGTATCTGGTAGTCGATGTCGGCCCCCTTTACGGTTTAATGTAGGGTAATGGGCCCTGATGTATATGGCTGTATGTATAGATCTTACGTATTTAACCAGGGATTTAGCCATATTTACGATACGTTGTTACCAGTTGTTGAGTAATCACAAATTGTTTATACACACTATTACTGTTCTAAATCTGCAAAATATTAAACTTCACGGAGATTAATCGCCTATGGACACTTGCTTTTTATTACAATGACGGACACATGTTGTTTATCAACCGATGCCACCTTATGTCAAAGCTTTTCTTTTTTATAGCTGTTGTAGCATTGCAACCATAAGCAGATTCGTTCTTAGACAAAGTACAAATAACTTGCCTATGACAAAGTTCTTTATAATTAGTCCTTTACTTATTTGTTTTATATTACAGTAAAGATCTTTGTTTAAATTTTACTCTAGTCCTAAGAATAGCAAAACGTCCTGAAACAGGAAAACGTGGGCTCGTTCAAATGGTATTTTGGAAAGCATTTATAACCTACAAACTGCTTTTTTTTATTTCACAGCAGCAAAGATTCGTTGTGGACGCTACAGCTCTTCACCAGGTGTGTACCCGTGTACCAACAATGATAATGATGCCTTCCTAATCTAATTTTACCGTAGAATCGCCATATTAAAATCAACAGTGAAACTGTAATTTCCAAGCAGATATTTCGGAGGAGATAAAACAGTACCACATTTGCTAACCTGCATCCATTTGCCCACCGAAGATCTGCCGGCACTCAAAACGTCGAAGACTATTAACACCTAGTTGTTGCCTAATAAAAATATGCTTGGCAAGTAGTTTATTGCCCTGACCAACAGACAAGGCTATTGCCCTCCTTGTGGGCCAGCTGGTTGACTGTTACATGGAGTCTCTCTTTGAGCACCACACCAACTATTATTTTTGATAGTTTAAACACTGATCAACATGTATTTCGTGATGTCTGGGGTTTTGAACCACAAGAACCCCAGTTATTCATTTCAATGTTTCAGCAAGCATATTTTAGTACAAACATACTGTATTATCTGGTCCTACAGGCTGGCTAATTTTTACTTACCCCTTCTGCTTGAAGATTATTAACTGGGCTAAATGCTAGGCTGAGGCCGGGCAAAAAATATTTAAACAATAACTGTCTTCTGTATAGATCATTATAGTCCTGTCATTAAGCATAATTTAATTCCCTTTTCTTTGTGAAGGAGAACCAACCCACGTGTATATGGGAGATGAAGACTACATTTTTAAAGAAATATGTCCCGTACAAGAACAAACGGCGTTGGTACATTGGATCGAATTGTGTAAGTTGATTTTACAAACATGGTTTTAGAAAAGCAGCGATACTCCGCCCTAGCCTGGGAGCTATTCTATTTAACAATAAGCTAGATAGGCTAGACGTTTTTGTAAGCAGTTATTCATTGGCCAAATTGCATAAAGTCTGGTCATTTGTACCATAATTTACATGCCGATACCATGTACGGAACTTTAAAATTTGTATACTGTTTCCACATCAACCTTTTTTAAAGCACGTTTTCTCTCTCTCTCTTATTCAACCTGGCTCCTTTGAATTGAACATAAATACCTGCAATTCGGAGTGGCTTGGACATACGACCACAAAAAGATATTTCCTTTTGCAGACACCAATTGAAAAAAATACATTTTGGCTGCTCTGCCAAAAATCTTACAACCAAATTAGCTAAAATTCGATATGGGGATATTTTGGACACATGCCTACTTAAAGTCTACGATTTTGTCATTAACCACTTTAAATTGTGTAGAAAAGGTGCATGTTTGTGCCCTAATGTTACAACAATATGTTGTGTATTACTTATTTTCGCATATTATACTAACAAATTATATAATTTTGGACAAAAATGCATATTCTTGGCTCCTTTGCACTGGTATCAAAGCAAAAACTTGAAATTCGATAAATGTGTACCTAAGACATATCCCTTTAAGGGTCTGTTGAGACATTTGACACATTCTTTGAAGATTTGTTCATTTTTTCTACTTTTGGCTATTTTGACCCCATACCTTTTCTGTTAAGAACAAATGACTTCAAATTTCTTTTGACGGTGCATAGGATACATGCATACAGGAACCTGATTTATACTTCCTTATTGCGATAAACCCCTTTATTATTATTAGTTTGGGATGGGACGAAAAAAGGAATTAAATATGCTGCATTTTTTAATATTTCAACATGTAATCACAAGACGTGGTGACGGCACACTCAAGTTTTCTTAACTTATATTAATGCCTCCACCAACACAGGAGACAATGCAATACTCATTTTCACTTGAGCAAAGATGCATGTTGCATTTACAAATATCGACCTTTTTTTTACCATTTAGTACCTCGGTTGGGCCGGAGACAAGACCATGAAGCTACAACCGGTGACATGCAAGTTTGTTCGCAGGGAAAACTACAAAACTATCGTCAAAATTGTTAACCCTGCAAATATCGAAAGTAGCAGCAGCATAAGCGCCACTGGTCAAGCACAAGGTAGGGATATTACATGTATACGTGAATAACCATAACAAGGGCTTTTATAGCTAGTTAGGACAAAGTCGATTTCTTTCTCTTTTTCTTTATTGGGAATGCAACAAGGCTCTCGACAACTACTAGTCTTTGATTAATAAGAAACAAACCCTCGTGCACTAACTGCAGGGAAACCGTTTATGCTGTGGCTTGTGTTGTTTATTAAAGTTTTCAAGCTTTACAATTTTACATAGACCTAGTGCAAGGCAGCAGTACTCCAACAGTAGACTGCAAGGGCCGGCAATTAACGTCTGAGGTCAAAGTAAATGGACAACTTGGGGAACAGTGCTGTGTGGGTATTGAGTCACATGCTGGAAAACCGAACCATGGCCAAGAATGGGTAAGTGCCTGTTGGGTCCGCCCATATTTAAAATCATTTAGCCAGCATTCTTTAAATATAACCAACATACAGCATTATCTGGTTCTGTTAGGCTCGCGGACTCTTACTAAATATGTTAGGGTGACAACCTTAATTGTCAACAAAAATGCTAATTTTCAAAAGAAATGTTTCTCCCTGTTTCAGTGTCAGCAGATCTTTGGTGGCTAATGGACACTTCTTTGGCCAACGGATACTCCCTTGTCACCATATGATCTGCTTAAAGAGTAGGTTTCAGTGCATTGGTGATCTTAAAGCTATCGTTTTTGTTTTTCAGATTCAAGATACAACAGTGACAAAGGCTATTGAAAACAGACCTTTTATACCATCGCATTTGCAAGCACCAATGATGCCCATCGTGGGATCTGTTAAACCAATTTTGGCCCATCCGCTGGACCTTTCAAGCAACACAAGGTCAAGGCATGACCTTTTCAGCCATACATGTTCAAGTCCAGACCTTCCTCTTGACCTTTCCAAGACTTTATGTCCAAGACTGGATATTCCCCTTGACCTTTCCATTACAAATAGATAAAGGAATTAAATGTGTTAAAAAAAGATTATCTACAGTCTGCAAGACGTTCTGGGATGTTAACGTTTTATGTGGTTATGGGGATCAATTTACACATCAAGCGTCCAGAAAATTCCCAATGGAGAGTTATTGTTTGTTGCTGGACCCTTTGACCCAGGAAATGTCCAACGCATCTTATTGACGGCTCAAAATGACCACGATGGTTTTCCCGAAGAATGACATTTTGTCTTCAACTCGTTCACCCTTTTTAAAATGCACATATCTTCTTAATGCTTTTTATGAAATCATTGTCTCCAACTAGAAAGGCCGACATTTGCTTTGGAGCAAATACAGCAATGGCTTCACCACATTTTACGACATGGCAGGGAAAGAATGAGAAACACAAGGGAAAACAATGCTTTACATTGATATAACTATAGTATGAAGTAACATACAACTAAGACTACAACAGTTGGATAGCTATTCCCTACATTATTGGTTAGGATTTTTAATTGCATAATGCAAACTGTTGATTTTCAAGAAAAAAAGAAGCGTTCATGCCCCGCATTCCAATGCTGGAGCAGGAAAGCTTAAAATACCTACCAAAACACTTGAATACAGACCTACTGTCAGTATGGAATGGCTCTGTGCAGGTATTAATTAAGTTAAGCCTGTTAAATTCCAACAGCCAATCAGCAAGGAGAATAGAGGAAAGCTGCATGCCTATTGGTTGATGCCCTGCATTCCATTGTGATGACTCATGCCCAAATGTGGTAACACTGCACACTAACTCAGTAATACATTTGCTATAACACAGCCAAAAAACTCAAATAAAACCATTCTAAAAGCCTGTATCACAAAAATTAAAAAAACGCCTGGGGGTATTCGCCTACTGTACTTCTATACTAAATTTCAGGTCCTTAGGCCCCAAAATGAAGAAGCTGAATCCATTTAAAGAAATGGCAGGAGGAGAAGAAGGAGGAGAATCATGAGAAAAAGCAATATGGTTTCACCTCTTTGTGGTGAACCCATAATTAAAACAATACAACCAGCGACACCAGCAGATGTGGTGAGATTTCTGATCTGTAATAAAGGTGAGCAACAGGGCACAACGAAGGTAGTAAAAGAAGATCAGGGGTCATGTGGTTGGCATAAGCGCCTAAAAATATTTATCAGACGAGGAATGGGGGTGGGGGTGGGATGAAAGACTGGGTCTAGGGAACCCAGCGGCCAGTCAGGATGTCAGGAACTGTTTTTTTAACACTGACAGCCAAGAGATTGAAACAAGGCTTAACTGCTAGGCATGCAAAGCCAGTTTTCCTACGAAAGATTGTGGCTATATGTCAGTATTTTGGAAATTTCAAAGAAGAAGAGAGGTCCTCAGCAAAACTCTTCATCTTAGCCAGACCTGTATTCAAGGACTTGCTTTTCGCAAGGAATGGAGTCGTGGATCTGATGAAATCACGTACAGATAAAGAGGGCAGAACACCGTCAGGTACTAGGTGCGCTACCCTTTGGGGTGAGACACTTTGAGATAGTAGAGAATCGGTATTACGTTAGAATATACAGGGGATCAAATGGCGACCTGGCTTTCGACAGGCCTTACAAGATGCTTCTTATTTAGATCAACTGAAATATAACTACTAATCCTGGCAGCTTGTTTACTGTGCGACATTACCGGTTGGCCATTCCTATTTGATAAAACGTCAAAGATAATCTTGGATTTTCTACAGAAATAAAGTTAATACTACTATATCATAAATTATAAAATAAAGAAAGAAGAAGTCAAAGGACATTTCCTGAAATTATCAGCTTTATTTCTGAAATGTTCAGTTTCCGGTTAAACGTGGGAAAATGGCAGCTATTAGTTTTTCCGTGCGGTTGCCCCTGGCAACGGTTTCTCTAGACATATCTAAACTAAATCTCGTTACCTTATTTGCTTTTGAAACTGCGCTTGCGCAAACTTAATGATCGCATTTCGTACATTTAAGGATGCAAAAAAAATATTAGGAAAAACAATATATATTAAGCTTTACCAAGGCATGACTGAAATTATAATAAAGACCAAGCAGGCTACATAACGTAATAGTCTAAGTTATCTAAGTTGTCACATTTGACAGCTTTACTAGTTTACCGCGAAAACGCCGGTAAAAAACCTCCTACATAAACTCAGGCGAAAAGATCGTCAGACATGTAGAGATGTGAATATTTTATATCACACATAATGCCAACAGTTTGCGTTGTTCCTGAAATAAATTATCCTGTCCTGCATCTCATGGTAGTCTTTAATATCTCTGCCCCATCGGTGTGTGTTGTACAAGTTACTCCACGTTCGGTTGTGGTGAATATGAACTCCCTTGCAAGCGGCCATCCGGAGCTTTCCCAATGCATCCAGGTAAAATTCTGTGCAATAAAATAAGTATTACCAAACTGCAAAGAACCTTTTTTACTGTTTATTACATATGTAAATATTCTATTGGATATAGCATATCATTTTAACAAAACAAACTTGTATGAGCTTAGCATACATTACATTGGTACACGCGTTTCGAATTCCAAAGAAATGGATCGTTTTGTTCTTATTGACATATTTAAGTCTTTGTCTAAAAAAGAAAATAATGTTTAAAATATAAAACGTCTATACTCGATATTGGTCTAGATAATTGTAACATAAAAACAAATATACACTTCATAATAGAATGGGAAGAGGAATGACTTTTTATCTTTTTTTACTGTTGTTTTCAATTAATTTGATTTAACAAAGATGAGATTCATACATTAAATTTAAAAGGCAAAGAAAAAGTTAACCTTCGTCTGCTTTTCTGGAGTACGCCGGGTAAAACCCTACAGACCGGACACCATCCGTTCTACCCATGAAGAAATTCTCCAACCGAGTTGAGAAATAGCAGTTTGGAAATCCTGGTACTTTTCCATAATTCTTATATTGCTGGTGCCAGATACAAACACCGTCATCATCGTCTTCCCCGGGGATCACCGCCATCTTGTTGTAATAGAGTATTTTATCGCCACGTAGTCCAGAAACCTGACGATAGAAAAAAGGGAAAGGGGAATGTCATTAAAGACCATGCTTGTACTATACGATTACCTAATAAATTTAGCAACGTAAACGAAGAGACCTCAGTCTAGCTCTGACTACAGTGGGGGAACATGTGAAGAGGCCTGTCTAAGACAGTGACCAAGACAAGTAACTCTTCAAGACAGTTTGAAATGTATAGACAGCAGATATGCAATTAAAATAAGATGGTAAGAAGTCCTAATGCAGGTTGTAATGGCCTGCCAAACTGTGGCAGGCTGAATAAAAGTTCTAAACGGGAACTATGCGGCTCCAGATGTCTTACTGAGGGACGACTGCGTGTGCAAGATGTCGGTAGCTTGAGGAATGAATCCCCTCTACTATATATGGCCTGCCAAACTGTAGTTACCGACATTGGCTTACAACTGCTTGTAGTTGTGTAGATACAACTGAGCTCCAGTCAACATGACTTGTACTGTTTTCTTAGGTAGCCAAAGAAAACACACACACCAGAATTACACGACATATTTCTAGACAATTACCATCAAAGCTAATTTAGGTGTGAGGAAGATACTTACAAGCTACTGAAATATATCTACAAATAGGCACTTTTAATAGGGCTGTCTTAAATTTTTTTAAATTAGAATACAAAAATTGGTTCCACAGAAACTAAAGGTTGTTGATAGTTAGTTCTTGCATTATGTGACTTAGTTACAAAAAACTAGTATAAAAATATTCCAATTTGTTTAAAGGATTAACAATTATTATGCTTAGGAGGAAAAGTCAACCTGGCGGTTTTAGCGCAAGCCGTTCAGGCGCTATCCGAGATGAAAGTAGGCGCAGGCCTCAGAAACCCACCTATTTAAACAGGGTTAAATAAATTGATCATATTGTATATCTACGTGTAAGCACACAGCGTCCTCTGATTCTTTTATTTAACTAAAAGGGCCTTAGCTTTGCCAGTACCAACCTACTAGTCAAAATGTTATGGTGCCTAATATTTGCAAATCTTACCACGTCCAAGTTGCTGTTGTCTAAGATGTCCACCATTACCTCCAGTTTTGTTTCTTCATGAAAGACGTAGTCATCATCCAGCCACAGCAGGTAAGGCGTGATCACCTGGGACACTCCCAAGTTTCTACCCCCAAACCAGCCCTGCAGACGTTTCAATCGGTCAAAAAAACAGAGCACATCAGACAGTCCGTACAGCTAATGAGCAGACGCCAGTAATACTATGTAACTAGTGTTTTACCATGTCATACCTTCGCCAAATTATAGCCTTCATGACCTCGAAATTATACATTTATCTCCCTGATTATGCAAATATCATCCTCAATTGCATGAATCATATCTGTTGGTCATATTCTACCGCAAAAGACAGTCTTATATTAACAAAGGATGCCATTATAGCATTTCCTCATATTTTTTCTAGGTTATGTTTAATTATGTTCACCATCACTTTTAAAAGTTAAAACTTTCAAATACCCCAGGTATGAAATTTCAGACAGTTACCAGTTTCATTACAATTCATATAAAGTTTCTTGAGTTATGCTGTTCACAAAGAAACAGACAAACAGAAAGACAGACGGACAGGCGCTACTGAAAAAATAACCTTCTTGGCGAAGGTAATAATGTATTATTGCACCTGAAGAGCTTCGATTTACTAGTGACCCAGGATTTAAAGTACTAGCAATGACAGCGGTGATGTGCAATGTCCAAATTGCTTGTAGCTTGGGGCAATGGTTGGCGATGACATGTCCATTTTTACAGCCCCTGGGCCATATTTCAGACAAAATCAATCCAGCCGTGAGAAAGTCATTGTAACTTGCAAGTACAGATAGACGATTTGCATCATAGAGCAATGTCCTTGATTATGTGACTTTGTAACGAGTATTTGGGTCATTCTGCATGGTCTGATATAGTGTTACATTGAAAACCAGCATAGGAATATATTTGGATCTTTTGGAAACTGATCAGTGTGCAAATCTTTTCCTGCCTTTGTTTTAGGGGCTAAACAGTCTACGGTGCTTTTGAATTGATGTAGTTATAGATGCATTGATTAAGCGCCATGACTAGAATTTTCAGTTAATAATCATTAAAGAAATTGAGGGGATCCAAGGTTGCGTTATTATCTTTAAATACTTACCGATTTGTGAGGCATGATATAATGATCTACATGTTCTGACTGTAAGTCTTCGAAAGGTCTATTGTCATCCGCTACAATTATCCGCATCTTGGGGTAGTATGTCTGGATGCTTTGGATGAGGAGTCTTACTGATGGGTACCTCAGGAAGGTCTTGGTGATGATTGTAACCTTGTCATTTATGTTACCTGTTATAAAGAAAAAAACACAGAAAATCTATTTATCTATTATCTATCTATCTTTCTATTGATACGTGAATATTCCATATCAATTATGCACTATGAGATGAATGAACACAATTAAAAATGATAAAAGGTTAATGCCCTGCCCTAAGGTGTATACGGTGAGATAATGGTCAGATGTCGTAATCGACGAATAAACCATCAAGTGAGGGTAGATGTATCCATGATTGCACAAATTCATTGCCCATTTACTTTTATGTATCAGAGATAAATGCTGTTTTGTGACAGGAGATTGATGACTTGACTAGTTCTGGAGCTGCACTGTTTTGGAACTTTGAGTGGCGAATTAATTGACGATGTACATAGGGCTCAGTTAGTTGGTTGTTCAGACTTGTTGGTGCTCCTTTTTTTACATTCGATGTGGAAGTGAAAGGTTTTCCAAATTAACTACCTTTTTCCTTCTTTATTACCTTTTATTCCTTACGTAATTATAGATGCATATTTAAGTAATTCATACCCGGTCTAGGGTCGTAGAGTGTTGGCGATCTCCTTACACGAATGTTGATAGGGAAAATCGCCTCGTGGTGCAGGTAACTAAAGCGCACTGAAAAACAATAATATAGGAATAAAAGAGAACGATCAAAATGAGTATGCACTTTGGGCATGGCCGTGAATTAAATGTATTTTGTACGACATTTAGGATTCAAGGCGTCCTAACTTCGCCAAATAACGTTAACCTGCATGGCCGACGAGTTATGTTTAATATCCTCAGTGATTTCATAAATAATGTTATCATTTGCATAATAAGTTATATAACTTGATTATATAAGTTGTTTACATTCTTCACCCAATAAAAATCTTATAATCCTTTTCAGGCCGTGCTTTGTTGGTCATGCTGGGAGGGAGGGGGGTGAGGGTGAGGGCCTGCTGATTCGTACAATAATCGACTATGCTTACTCATCATTGCCATAATTAAAACTACTACTTACCAAAGTCCCTAGCATCTATGTCAAACACGGTGTTAACATACACCACAAACTCCAGCTGCCGGTTAAGATGGGCCAGAAACCTACTGATAATGGTTAGTGTAGCCGTGCCCAGTCCGTCAACCCTAACCTTGGGCACTGTGGCACGGATCGTCAGCACCCCAAGTTCGGATGACGAAAGTTTCACCTAGAAAACACATTGTTCCATATTATAACTTGACACACTCATTGTGCTTGCTTGCCTGCTTGCTTGCTTGCATAAGAAATGCAGGTCTGCTTGCAAATAAAACGAGAAGGGCAAAGAAATATTTTAGATACTGTTTGTATTCTTGTAACAAGACGTGGTTATGAAGATCGCAATGTAGAAACGTAGCTAATTAGAATGATAATTATATCCTTATCGCGAAGAACACATTCACAACCGCCTTTTAAATATTGAATAATAGAGCTTCCAAATGATACCTTATACTTGTTACGTAAGGTGTTATCCACAACTTTGAGACCTGTAAAAGAAAAATTTGGTAATGGGTCTATTTTTTTGTCATGAGAAAACACAAAGATGTACCTGAAGTAGGTAATTATACATCATACATCATCCAGGAGTCGAGGCGAACTGGCTGGTTTGACCATGATTACCTCCATGGAAAAATGGAGTTATTGTTTTTGGCGCGTCTGTCTGTGTGTGTGTGTGTGTGTTTGTGTGTGTCTGTCTGTCTGTGTGTTTGTGTTTCGGCACATTTGTAGTCAGCATAACTTCATAACGCATGTATGGATTGTGATGATATTTGGTATGCTGGCAAGTCTTAGGAAGACGAAGGTCAAGGTCAAATATGGGCCTCCTGGTGGATGACCTCGGTACTGCAGCAGAACTTCCGGTTTTTGTATCTTTTGTCCTGAACATGCTATTGTCTTGAATTTTCGATGACAGATCTATTTTCCTGTCAGGAATAAGTGGTGTGGATTTAGTCTCCTTAGCAGCTTGTTATGGAACTGCAGGGGACCTTCGGGCGAAATCTTTGGAATCCAATAATGATGAACAACGTATTTTCATCATTTTTGGTAGGTAGGTAGCTGAGAGAGAAAAGTATATGATTAAATGTAAATTATGCAAATGAGGACTAAATTTGCATAATTAATGAGGAAATTCCATAATTACAGTGTTTTACATTATAGTAATTTCATACATGTAATGTATGTAACCTATGACAGATGGAACATAAACAGATACCAATTATGCAAATGTAACCTAATCTGCATAATTAATGCTTTCTATGATGGGAATGTCATACTTGGGACATTTGTAAGTTAATCAAAAGTTAACATTGCGATGCATATATTATGTAAATGCAGAGGTCATTTGCATAATTAAAGAAGAAATTTACATCTACATATCAAGCCCATATTTCATGGAGGTATGACATCTCGGAACTCTTGTTTCTAATTGGATATCATTAATATTTAACATGATCGAAAATAATGTGGTCACCACAGACAGGTATTGGGCCTTGAGCGGACCCAACTCAGGGTGGCCAGGTGGTCAAATTTTGGGACCAAGAAAAAATGGTCACAATTGCCAGTTGGCCAGCTTGAAGAGGTGGTCACCTTTGCAGGTTTGACTTTTTAAATTCTTTTTAATTAGTAGCAAATCTATGTACATCTTTTGTAATTTAAGTCAAGTCAAGATGGTGTACTAGTAAAAATAAATAACAACGATTTTGATGTTGCTATGGCGTAATCTGACGTCATCATGACGTCATTAATGTGATTTTATAGACCAAAACCGTTTAAATAGGTTATTTCCTAAAAACACAACGGTATACAGCATTACTTTAACAAAAGTGTTTATGATGGAATATCTGGTGTACTAAGACTTATGTTGCCCAAAACAGCACCGTTGACGTCTAATAAATCAAATCAAATCAAATCAACACAGTTTAAGCATCTGTTAAAACATATCTTTGTTATACCTGGGATGTCTTCCCATTCTTCTGGTGCAACGACCACTCCTTGTACAGGATAACTGAGAGGAACGGATCCGTTCACGATCATTAGGGTCTCTTTGGAAGACTTGGTTCTAAAATGTGAGAACAGGTGAGAAATTATTTGTATTAGAATGGAATTTTGCATTGTCTCTCGTCATGTTGAGGTCACTTCTCGCAGCCGGACGTGCTCCTGCATTATGAACTATTCTTCTTTTAACTTCCCAAAACCCACAAATGTTAGAAAAGGTGGGACATTACGTCTTCCATTGTCTAAAAAAAGAAAATTCAAACCCCTTAGACATTGTTTTAGACATAGCTATAGCTCTACACAACTACCTTTTATCATGTAGATTTTAGTTATTTTATACTACGTTTCATTGTTCTTTTATGTTTGTAATCTGCAATTAGCCCCCCGGGCATGAATTTGAAATAAACTTCTTATGTATGATGAGTATTAACACGTCTCAATAGTGGAAGACATCTAATTACCTCCAATGGAGGTATTGTTTTGAGCTTGTCTGTCCGTCTGCGTGTTTCCGCAACTTAGCACACCATAGCTCAGCATATAAAAAGGGTTGGTGGATCTTCCTAATGCGCTCTTGTCAATCATTGTCTCCGATCAAAACCATACAAACGGCAGATATAATTTCTGATCTGTAAAGGTGAGCAAGGCAAGGCACCGGTACACAAAACAAGTAGTAAAAGAAGGAGCAGGGGTCCTGTGGTTTCCTTTCCCTGTGTGCTTTTAAAACAGCTGATTCGTACATAGGAAAGCCCAGGGCGATCTTTAACGAAAGGGGAGGGGGGTTGGGATGAGAGACTGGGGCTAGGAAACCTAGCTTGATATTTGGTAGGTCCTGATGAGAGTGGAAATAATTAGGTTTTGGGCCCCCTATCGGCTTCTTATGGTACTGCAGCTGAACTTCGGTTTTAATATCTCGTGACCTGGACATACTAGAGTCACGAACTATGGATCGTATAGATCGTAAACTACATACTGACAGTTAAACAAGCTGACAAACGAACTATTTATTGTGTGGATAAAATATAACCGGCTAATATTGATTTCTTAGCTGAGAAATCCCCGCTATTCCAAACGTAAAAAAAAAACTAAGATGCTTTTAACCTGCGTTTGAATTTTTGCAGTTCTACTTTGCGTCGATCTTCAACTTCCTTTGGTTCTTCAGTCTCCATAACCTTTAGTATCTTTTCATACTTAACCCCAGAACAGTTGCATCTCATCCTGTTGCTCATCCTGTTGGTACTGAAAAAAAAAACACAATTTGATTATTACCACTCAGTATTTTGCCCATTCGAGTTATATAAAAAATAAATAAATAGAATATTCGATTTCTATTGTGTTATAATGATTTTTCTTTAGCTAAAACTACGAAACGAACTGACACATAAAGATCAATTAGACTAAACTACAAACGACCAGCCTGGTCTGAGAAATGTATTTTCAACAGCGGAATGACGTTAACAACGATAAAAACAAGCACTTACTTCTGGAATCCATCCCTTAGAGTAAAGGGAATGTCAGCAGGCATCATAGCGTCTCTTTTTGCCTGTTTTGCCGACATCACGGTACTTTCGTCCCTTTGAGTTATTATTTGAAATATATAGGAAATACCATTTCTATTGTGTTATGATGATTTTTATCAAGCTGAAAAATACACCACGAACTGACTCATAAAGGTTATTTGGATTCAACTAAAAAGACCAGCCAAGTCTGAGAAATAGGTACGCTTTGTTTTTTAACAACTAAATAACTTTAACGACGATAAAAACAAGCACTTACTTCTGGAATTCATCCCTTAGAGCGAAGGGAATGTCAGCAGGCATCATAGCGTCTTTTTTTGCCTGTTTTGCCGAGATTACGGGACTTTTTTCAGGATTTTTGGTGAAAATCGTTAATGTACCCATCGTTATAATCCCAAAGCAGTACCATGCTACATTTAGTACCAGTCCTTTTACTCTCATGGTGAACACCCTGCGGAGTAGACGAGATTTCCATTAGAAGGGTAATAAAACACTTCAGCAAATCTATCTATCTATCTATCTATCTATCTATCTATCTATCTATGTATCTATCTATCTATCTATCTATCTATCTATCTATCTATCTATCTATCTATCTATTTATCTATCCATCCATCCATCCATCCATCCATCCATCCATCCATCTATCCATCCATCCATCCATCCATGTATCCATCCATCTATCTATCTATCTATCTATCTATCTATCTATCTATCTATCTATCTATCTATCTATCTATCTATCTATATATATATATATATATATATACAGCCAAAGGACATGCATTTTTCACGATGCTTTCAATTCCATACACTCTACCACACATAAAGTCACTTCTACTTGGAATATATAATTCCTGACAAATTCTGTCAACTTAAAGATTACTTTATTGAAGTTTTTGAGGTATGATTAGCGATGCATTTATAACTACGGACTGTCCTGGGTACCCTAACTTAAAGATTACTTTATTGAAGTTTTTGAGGTATGATTAGCGATGCATTTATAACTACGGACTGTCCTGGGTGCTGGACTGACCATTGAGCTAAGAATGCTGATATATTACAACGACGGTTTTCATCTAAACACATACTTCATCTTAATTCCGAACATTTCACGGCTAAAACCAGGAATTTAACGCCGAAAAGACACTAAAAACAAAACAAAAAACGCACTCAGCAGACGTCAGCCGCTAATTTGCGAAAATCCAGCCGCAAAGAATTGTGGGGTGGTGTAATCAGTGATTACCCAACTCCATTTGACCCCTGACCTCTTCTATCCGCCGCCCGCAAATATTATTTCCGGGTTTTAATAAGCTTTTCAGCGCCGCTAAGATTTTGCGCGACAAACACCCCGATCCGATATCCTGGAACCGCGCACGGGGCGAGTACGGGGATTCCTGATTTTTTTATTCATAATCAAACACAAAGCTTAATGCCCTATGTACTATACATACTATATATTAACTATTTCCAGGGTCAGGAAGTTGAGGCAATTTAACCTTATCTAGGACCGGGGGGGGGGGGGCGTAAAAGTGCCCGCGCAAACTTTCAAGTCGGATAACGTCCGAACGGCTTGTGCTACGGCCACCAAACTTTGGCCGCAACAGCGGTAATCTGCTTGCCAAAAATCATGGACGTCAAATCATGCCACAGGACGAAAACCGAGATTTCCCTCGTGGATATCTGTGAACACCCGCTAGTATTATATACTGTAGATCCAATATGGCGCCGACATAATAAGGCGTTAATTTATGCAGAAAGCCGAGCTACCAGACAAAGAAATCTGTACATTGTTACTGTAGTTAGCAAGGGTTATAGTCGATATGGTAATATTCAAGTAAGTTTGGAAACAGATACAGATCGGAAAAAATACTGCGAAGCATTACAATATCTCTTAGTTAAACCAAAAAAAACTAATCATGATCACTTATGACTTCCACTAATAAACACAATTTTTGCAGTAGAAATTTCAAAATTGCACGTCCCCTGCACTTCTAGGCTAAGTTTATAATTTGGCACCCAAAACAAAACGCGCTAAAGACGATCGCGCGTGAGCAAGTCTTGAGTTTATTATCTTTAGCTATTTCTTTTCGTTCACAACAACGTGTTGCAAATTATCACTCTACCGGCGTCCGTCGGCGTGCTTTCTTGATTTACCGATAGTATACGCCAAAATGTATCAGGGGTTCACGCCATTTCTACCAGGAAATTTACTAAAGCGGAGTGATAATTATTTCTATTGTACATCCATGCGCTGTAGGGCCATGTACAGAAAACATTAACGACATGTACTAGTATAAACTTCAGGAAACTCTTAGACCCCGGCGTTCATATCAAGCTTTGCATATCCTGCTAGATTCTTTAGCGGCGGTCAATCTATATAGCCTGGTGCGGACGCAAAATAGTCTGCTCTGTAAAGCCAGACTCACAAAGTCCCATGGTAATATGTGTAAACAAACACAAGAAAACTGCTTATAGATTGCCATGCCTATTTTCTTAGGTTGGATACTCCATTGTGACGATAATTAGTCAGGACACGAGACGTTTCCAACAGTGGGAAATCCTGGACACTTTGCGTGTCCCATTGTGTGCACGGGTTTCCTACAGTGAACACGCCGGGATGGGACACCCGTGGAAACTTGGGTACACGGCTAGGACATGTCAGGTTTCACCAACGTGTCCCAGCTTGGAAACTTGTGGAAATTCGGTTTTCCGTCCAGTGCACCTTCAAGAATTATTCCGCTAAATCCGCAATCAACCACAATACGGCGAGATAATTCCATCTAGTCTTTCTGACGAAGACAATAATTAGATTTTGGAACCCCTATGAGCAATACTAATACCATAAGCTTCGATAATGTTTAATAACATTCTTGCGAAAAGATACAACACTTACCGAAGGTACAGCAACAATTTCGACGAAAACTTTGAATAAACACATAAACGTTTACCTTGATTTTAGTTGATGTTCTGCAGAATAAAAGATACACAACCCCTCTCCCATGAGCAGCCACTAAGATATGTCGACGTGGTACTAGATCCATATCTCTGTTTTGTTTGTTGTTACTGCCGTGGTGTATAACACGTGATAATACGCCGTGAAAAGCTCTTCTTACTGCTAGAACGCATTAAAGTAGATCTAGTTTTTTTTCTAACTTCCAACATCAGTAGTTTACATCCCATTTCCACTAGAGCTGCTAATATTGTGCTTCTCAATATTAAGCTGATCACTCTGTGAGTTTCAAAAACAAGGGGATGTTTTCTACAGACCTTTTTTGTGTTTTTGTGTGTGTAACGTCACATCAGTTTGTGTGTTTTGTGTCTGTAACGTCACAAATTGTGTTTTGTATCACACAGTTAAAAGCGAGGGGGGCTTAAATATAGAGTTTTCCTTTTTGAGTCTAGTACATGTCAGTTCTTTGATCTTTGCCAAGTTAGTTTAATAAAATGGAAACAGGAGGGCGTCTATTTCTTCCTTTATGTAGATTTATGTTGATCAGGCTGAAAGTGCAAATCTTATAAGGCCGATTTACACGTGTTAAAAACATTTGTCCTGTGACGATCGACGCATCACGCGGAGTGGTAAGTGTCGTAGGACTGTTTTTTTTTTTGCGTGTAAACACGCCCGCCACCACCGCGGTGCATCCTGGATGTTCAACACAACCTCTGGGGGCGTGTTTACACGCAAAATATATCTGTCCTACGACACTCGCTCAGGACAAATATTTTTGGCCCTGCATGTGTAAATCGGCCCTTATGAGTTATGTGACCAAAAAGAAGAGATGACAAATCATGACACTTCACGGGTGTGTTAACCCTACCTAGACCGGGCTTTTTTTGACATGGGGGGACCGGGGGGGGGGCTCTTTTGACCCCCCCTAAGAACTCGCGAACGGTATGTCGTATGACCACCAAATTTTCATAGAATGGTGTACTAGTAAAAATTTATCATATCTACAATTTTTATGTCGTTATGACGTAATATGATGTCATTATGACGTCATTAATGTGATTTTATTGGCCAAAACCGTCTAAATATGTTTTTCCCTGAAAACTAAATGGTATTCAACATAACGGTACCAAAAGTGTTTATGACAGAATATTATGGTGTACTAAGTCTTATGTTGCCCATAGCAACACCGGTGACGTCATAAAATGACGTCATGCACATTTAAGATATCCGCCATCTTGGATCATCAATCTTGAATTTTCAAAAATAGTTTTTTTTTTCATGATAAAGCCTAAAATACATTGTAAACATACTAAAGACCTCCATTTAAACCTTTTTTGGAAAAAGAAATGGAAGTATTGATAAAATTTTTATGAAAATAACCTGTATATACCTGTTCTGATGATATGGTCCGCCATCTTGGATTTTGGCCAATGACGTCATCAAATTAGCATACTAGTAAATAATGCATATTAAATGATAAAATTTACATAAAGTTATATGGGATGTTATTAATATTAGAAACCATGAGTAACTTGACATAAAACACATAAAATTTTATTGTTGAAACAAAAAGTACTAAATTTAGCAAAAAATGCCTGTCAGAAACCCGTTGCCATGGCAACACAAAAAATTATTATCTTATTCCAATGATAGAGAATTGTTGCCAACAATATTCTAGGAAAAGTCACCAAGTTTGGCCGTTCTACGGCTAGCCGTTCATACGCTAGGTGACATCAAAGTTGGCGCGGGCACCTTTAGCCCCCCCCCCCCGGTCTAGGTAGGGTTAAAAGCTTGAAACACCGCCGTGCGCCATGTTTGTTTACATCCGGGTAGTTATGGACGGCACCACTGCTCAGTGCGCCTCATGTTGGCTGTTTTAGCGCCGGCCATTAATGTCAGAAATGTGAGATTGTTACATATGGATGTTGAAAATTGAATGTAAATTATAATAACAAGAATATTAATGTACAGTAAACTTTGGTTTGACTTGTAAACACACTCACACCGAAGCGCGGAATTGCACGACAAACATGTGTCACATGGATGTACAAAAATCACCGCACCGCGTCCGTTTACACGCTGAAATGTCTGTCCTAGACACTGTCAAACGAATAATAATATAATGGCGTACTCTGAATTTTTTTCTAGCGATCTATTATTAGCGGGTTACTATTGTCAATCGTACACTCTTTGTTTCGTCAAAAAGGATATTTTTTGTTACACCTGCAAGTTATTGCTATACACTGTAATAATGGCAGGATGTAGTATATAACAGAACCATACTGGCTTAATTATAGAACAATTTCTCTGAATTAGTGGGGTCGTGTGGCGTAGCGAACGCGTGCTCGACTCGGAATTCGAACCAAGAGGTCCCGGGTATCTTATTCTTTTACAAAATACGCAGCTACAAAAAATCTTTTGTGTCTTATGATGTACGAAACGTCACAATATATTATTCCACTTATTATGTAAAAGTTCTAAAAAAAATCAATTTTGTCACTGAAATGTTTCTTAACAATCCAGATATAAAGGCTGTGGGCTTGAAAAGAAGAAAATCCATAAAACGTGAGAGGCGTATAAGCCTTTGTTGCTATTTTCATCTAGTCGCCAGTTCTTTACTCTTCATTGACGAGTTTGATGAGCGTATGCCGCTATTGTCACACGAACACAATAAATACCCCATGACTTAAAAACTATTAAGGAAGGAAAAATGATATAATGATCATACCTGACTGTAGAAACGCAGCCCTTCTTCAGTCGCAGTGAGGTACACCCGGAGGTTTGCTTTGTTTTACTGCCGGCTGTAATGTTTAGTCTCAAACAGGATACACTTTATTTTGTTTATACCTGTAAGTTACGACTCTATAATTGCGGCAGGATACAAAATATTACAAAACTATACTGACTTTATAGTGGCACATTTTCTCCGAAAACTCCTCTAAAAGATTGATGCGAGCGCAGGCAAAACAGAAGGGCAAGGTTCTTCTTAGATAAATTCTAGTCACAGCAATTCATCCGAAGAAGCGGCTCCCCCTGGGTGTCAAGCATTTTAGCAAGGTTTAGAGGCTTTGTAGGAAAAGAAAGTATACAATATGGAGGACAATGTATCGTAAGGAACATAACGGTTTTGACTGAATAAGCTCAAGTACTCCAGACAGTTTGCGAAGTTTGGTCATCGTTACCTATGTTCAGTACTTTGTGGCTTACATATACCACGGCGGTAACAACAAAGTAGTGATATATGGATAAAAGCTCACACGTCGACATATTTGGGGACCGCTCATGAGTCAGCGAATGCAAATATTTTATATGGAAATATGGATAAGAAAGAAGCCTTCTTGTATTTGTTTCACAATGTACTACTATTAGAATTCAAAATAATGTGTCTTATATGGGTTAAATTCACTTGCGTACTTATAGTGTGGTATAATATAACCTTTGGTAGTCAAATGAACATGAATCAAGAGTCACATTGTACATTTTGTATTCAATTTTGTAAATGTTTTCACGTAATTCTGCGTAATTCAGCCCCCCCCCTGTATATTTCAAGGTGATAATTTTAATAATGCTATCATTTATTGTCCATGTTTGTGTGCTTATGCATTATTACATCGCAAATAACCTTTATTAGTACATTGCGCCCTCCCCATTGTGTGTCCGAGCTGTTTCGTTTTTGTCCTGAACATTCTTTAAGTTGCGTAAAATACAAAGAAGGCAGAACCTGAAGATAATCTGTCACAGCTGTACGTGCGCTTATTTACACGTGCATGGACCGTTTATCAGACGCTGAGTACTCCTGTCCATTAACAAATCGATATTGTTTGGCGCCTCCCGCTTCCGCATTGAGCGAAAACATTTCGCCCGCACAGAAATATCTCTTAAATATACTCTGTTTATGTAGCTTTTACAAAGGAGGCATATTCCGTCCGTTTGGCACGCTGTGAGAGTTTTTCACTTCCGAAAAACGCGAATCCGAAGTTGGGAGGCAAAACCGACCTCCTGGGGGCGGCGGCCATGTTTATATTTCCCGCGCTGAGGTGTTAGAAAAAGGGGAACCACTTTTAGGAATGAATTGTGGTGACTAGAAATTATCTAAAAACATTAACTTCGCTATCTGTTTTGTCTGTGCTTTTATCAAGTTTTTCAGAGGAGCTTTCAGAGGAAATGTTCCAAAATAAAGCCAATATAGTTTTGGAATATTTTGTATCCTGCCGCAATTATACAGTCATAGCTTGCAGGTATAAACAAGAATTCCGAGACTTCATACCTCCATGAAATATGGGCTTGATATGTAAATGTAAATTTCCTCTTTAATTATGCAAATTACCTCCGCATTAACATGATATATGCATCGTGATGTATGTTAACTTTTGATTAACTTACAGATGTCCAAAGTATGACATTCCCATTATTCACCATTAAGAAATCATAGAATTTTTGCATGATTTATGCAAATTAGGTCATCATTTGCATAATTAGTATCTGTTGATGTTCTGCCTGCCATAGGTTACATACATTACATGTATGAAAGTAGTATAATGTAAAACACTGTAATCATAGAATTTCCTCATTAATTATGCAAATAAAGTCCTCATTTGCATAATTTGCATTTAATCATGTACATCTCTCTCTTAGCTACCTACACACCAAAAATTATGAAAATATGTTGTTCCTATCTGGACTTATTGGCTTTTAAACATTTCGCCAGAAAGTGCCCTGCAGTTCCAAAGCAAGCTGCTAGGGGGACCAAACTCACGCCACTTATTCCTGACAGGAAAAGCAATCTGTCACCAAAACATCAAGACCATAGCATGTTCAGGACAAAAGATACAAAAACCCGAAGTTCTGCTGCAGTACCAAGGTCATCCACCAGGAGGCCCATATTTGACCTTGACGTTTGTCTTCCTAAGACTAACCAACATACCAAATATCATTACAATCCATAAAGGCGTTCTGAAGTTATGCTGACCACAAAGTTGTGGAAACACAGACACACAGACACACACACATACATACATACAGACAGACACGCCAAAAACAATACCTCCATTTTTCATGGAGGTAACAAAATAAAGCGTATCCTGTTTGAGACTAAACATTACAGCCGGCAGTAAAACAAAGCAAACCTCCGGGTGTACCTCCCTGCGACTGAACAAGGGCTGCGTTTCTACAGTCAGGTATGATCATTATGCCATTTTTTCTCAATACTTTCATGTCATGTGGTATCTATTATGTTCATGTGACAAGAACAGCCTTCATCAACCCTCAAAGAGGCTGGCGTTTTAAGGTTTTAGTGGCTGGCTGGTTTCTGATCGCTAGTGGATAGCTTATCTAGCAAATCAGAACACGGCATCGAGTAGAACATAGCAAAAGGCTCGCACATTCATTCTGCTCTACATGAAGAAAAAGGCGAGGTCACTCTGCTAAAGAGTAAAGAACTGAATACTAGATGAAAATAGCAACAAAAAATGTAGCTGCGTATTTTGTAACAGAATGAGATACCACTGGACCATGACATTTTATAAACACAATTGTAAACGTGCAATCTACCAATTTTATCGTTGAATCTTTTCACATTTTACCAGTAGCTTAAAGAATATTCCACATTTTGAAGATTTAAATCACTCACACTGGTCCTTCTCAGTGTGACCGGTCAAAACCTTGCAGTTTTATAGAAAGACTCCTGGTCGATTTAAGTTTACCTGATTTAGAGTCCTTGAGATTCAGCCCCACAAATGGAAGTCTCCTTACTAATAAGCTTACTATTCAGCCTAATAAGACTAATACAATGTTAATACATAACATCCTGCGAATCATCAGACATACAACTTACTGGAGTAACTACTACAATTTTAAACAAATACTCAGACGTGTGGCTGTATTTTGGTTCTTTGGAAGGTAGGGCCCTCCTCATCTTGTTTGGCCTGCGCTCGCATTATGATTTTTCAATATTCCAATATTTCTATAACATGACTAGACATGATGACAGCACACTTATGTTATATCAACTTATTTTATGACGCCACCGCACGCAGAGCACGAATTCAGAATAGCCGTGTAAAGTGCCTTTCCCAAGGGTATAAGATCGGTGGCATGTCAGACTCGAGCCCGGACCTCTTGGTTCGAATTCCGAATCGAGCACGCATCCGCTACGCTACACTACACGATCCCACTAATTTATGACTATTCAGAGGAATTGTTCCATAATCAAGCCAGTATGGCTCTATTATATACTACATCCTGCCGTTATAACAGTGTATAGTGTAACAAAAAAATCCTTTTTGACGAAACAAAGCAAAGCTCCGGGTATTGAGCAATTTACATAAACATGGGTTAATTTCCGCAGCCCGGCAGGATCATTATAGTTTTTATTATCCTACGATTTTATGTTTGGGAGTGTACGAGTGACAATGGTAACCCGTTAATAATAGATCGCTGGAAGACGGTTTGGTCATATCAGAGTACGACATTGATTATTCGTTTTACAGGGGGAAAACATTTGTCCTGTGGCTAGTGGCTAGGACAGACATTTCAGCGTGTAAACTCATCGCGGCGCGGTGATTTGTGTACATCCATGAGACACGTGTACATCCATGTTTGTCGTGCAATTCCGCGCTTCGGCGTGAGTGTGTTTACAAGTCAAATCAAAGTTAACTGTACGTAGAAATTCTTGTTATTATAATTTACATTCGCTTTTCAATATATATATGCAACAATCTCACATTTCTGACATTAATGGCCGGCCTTGTGGGGTCGTGTGGCGTAGCGGCAGAGTGCGCGACTCGGAACTAAGAGTCCCGGGTTCGAGTCCTGACATGCCACCGATCTTGTGCCCTTGGGAAAGGCACTTTACACGACTTTCTTCACTTAGCTCAGGTGTAAATGAGTATTGTCCTGTTATGTATTTGTCCTCTGTGTTGGTGGCGGCATTAATATAAGTTGAAGAATCTTGAGTGTGCCGTCACCACGTCTGGTGATTACATGTTGGAATAAATTAAAAAAAAATGGCCGGCGCTAAACAGCCAACATGAGGCGCTCTGAGCAGTGGTGCCATCCTTAATACCCGGATGTAAACAAACATGGCGCACGGCGGTGTTTCAAGCTTTTAAACACACCCGTGAAGTGTCATGATTTGTCATCTCTTCTTTCCAAACGGTCCTAATTTGCAATCGTGTAGGGCAGATAAAATATATATTGTACAGTAATAAACATAATATAGATTTTTTTATATGGCCCTGATGTTAAAAATGCAGCTTTATTCTCTTAAGTCCAGATATATTCGAGATGCAGGAACATAATCTGTATGTAGGATTTGGATATATCCTGCTTTGTATATATACCCTAAATCAAGATAAAATATAACAGAGTTGCTTGCGTCGCTAAAGCCCGGAACATAGTCATGTAGTGGCTATAATCTATTCAATATGGCGATGCCATCTGCCGACTGAGCGATTATTTTTTTGTCTTTGGGAAGAAGATCTATGTTTTCGTTTTAGCCCGTTTAATGTTGCACGGTTTAATATTGTTACTTTGAAAACAGAACAGTGTAAAACTTCGAAAAAGTGACCAGTAGTGTGTTTATCTGTCCATGCCTTTTGTTTCTGGGGGAGAGACAGTCTAGGATGTTTATGTGTTTATATATTTATGGGGGTCAATTCACTATTCAAGCTGCTGGAGAAGCCACAGTGGGGAGTACTGCCTTAGTGCGTCGCCCTGGCCTCGTATTAAGTACACAATAAGCCAAAAAGACATACGGAACCAATTTAAAATAATAACCATACTTGAGAAAATGTAGAAAAATATTCTCTGTTCAAGTCGTGTCGCTACAAACCCGGATTTTTGTGTTGCTGCTGATGTTTACTTTCAAACAGGATGCGTTTTTTGTACATACCTGCATGGCTACTATTATATAGTGGCAGGATTATAAATATTTCAAAACCATTCGGTTTTGGAAAGTTTCTTTTGAATGTTCAAAAACTAATTTTAGTAGTAAATATAATATAGTAGAGAGGTCGTTATTGTTTTAGGAGAAAATTTGACAGAAAGCCATTCAATCAAGTGGCTCACCGTGCTTTTTAAGTTCTCTCCAAGCAGAGGTTTGGGTTTGGGGGGTATTTTTAGCTTGTTTTTAGGCTTTTTTATTGGGGTTTCTCTTTTGCACTGAATTTTTCCCCACAAAACCCAACCTCTGCCGGCACTCACCCCGGGGCGGCGCAAACCTATTCAAGAAGGGTGACAGTGCTCCTCCCCGGGAACCATCAAATTATCATACGGGATATCCATTTTACTGTGGTGGATTATCACACATAGAGCCAGTCAGAAAGGCATTCATTGGACCACACGCCTCCTGCTGACTGTGCCTATTCATGCGTCGGGTTCACACCTCCTTGCAGAACGACTTAAATGTGTTGAAGTGATTAGGTTGAAGTGAAGGCCCATTGAAGCTTTCGACTGCCAGCAGAGGTTGGGTTTGGTGGGAAAAAATCAATGCAAAAGAAAACCCGATAAAAAAGCCTAAAAACACGCTTAAAATACCCCAAAATCCAAACCTCTGCTTGGAGACTACTTTTTAAGTAATAATTGAACAGGGGCGACCGCCTTTTTAGAAAACAAGAAAACCTACAAATATAACTTGGAAGAAGTCATTTAATTTGGAAGAAGTCATTTAAGATCCTACTTGTTTTAGCTATAAGTTCAACCAGTTAATTCTTGTACGTTTTGTCACGTCACATTGCTACCTATACTCAATTCTTCCGGATTTGCATATACCACGACGGAAAAAACAAACAGGGTAGAGATATGAGTCAGGTTACACGTCGACACAACCAAGGAGCCGCTCATAGGGGAGTGATTAAAAATATTTCTATCTGCAAAAAAAGGAACCAAGATTCAGTCAACGTTTGCTTATGCATTTTAGGTTTCCTATGGTATGTTTCTTTTCTTATAGTTTGCAGGAAGTTATTCATTTTTAAAGTATAAGGCTATAGTCTGCAGTGTTACATCCTTCAGGAAATACCAGTATTATCCATTTATAGAATCCATGCATGTAAATGTGTTATTCTGTTAATACAATAAGATGACCATGTCAACCAGTCAAGCAAGATCTAAGTTTGACCAAAAAGTCAACGCTTTTAATTTGATAATATTTTGTTTAATCCGGCCACGAACTTCTTAGTCGATAGAATAAGTCGATAGACGGTATAACCTTTCTTTGTTTTTTAGTTAAAAGTCTACTGAGCTTATTATTCAGAGTAGACGTTTTGCAATATAAGTTATTCTCTTCTGATCGCTATGTTTATAATGTTTCTTATACCATGCTCGCAGCACTGGCCGAATTTTGCGTTTCCTGTTACTGATAATGATTTACATTTGTCGATGCTAATAGTTTTTCATGGTATGTACCGATTCTTGCCTTGAAGCTTTTAGTGTTAGCCTGTCTCAAGAATGCCAAAAAGACTTTCCTGTTACTTCAGCTGGCAGTGTTTTCCTGTGACTGGTGATGAGGGAATTTCCTTGTAGCCAGTTACGACATTGCTCTCATGTTTCTAACAGTATTTACATGTCTTCAATACTAACCTTGTATAAGTCCCTAGAGCTGATATTGTTTCCCTGTCGTGAAATGAGTCGATGGTCGTTTATGTTTGTCCCAAACTGCATATTCATGTGACTATCAATGTGTTTACCTGTCTATATCATGTATAAAAATGTGCTCGGTGTTGATAGTGTTTCCCTGCCACCTGTGTTCAGTTAACCCATGCTCCAAGACTTGAGTGTGGATCCTCGTCTATGGCGCTAGTAGTGTTTTCATATTTCTACCCACTGGTCGTGTTTGCACGCCTTATAGTCTGATACTGTTCTTCATGGTCTGCGTTCCACACGCTTTAACCTTGTCATTGGCTCGTTTGGTTTGTGGAATTTTGTTCGGAGCTAGATTTTTTAGCAATGTTTCCACCGCCTTGACCTATACGAGGAGACCATTTTAAATGGGAACCTGTTTTGGATTTTGATTATGAAATGAAGTATTATATCTGTGCATGTGTAATTAAGCTTGATCAGGATAATACAGAGGTAATATGGTCGTTGTTAAAGTCAATTTGTAAAGAGGGGTACAATTTGGTAGGCGTACATAATAATATATACAGTGGAAGCGAATTAATTGAACAACGGTTATTTGCCATGTAGAAAGACACATATTGTGCATGGAAATTAGTCCATGGGCCGAGACCGTTTTTTGTACCACCGAGACGGACCAGTGCTACCATAGACTTTTTGAATCTGCAATAACCAAAGTTTATTTTGATGTATGATAGCAAGTCCTAAAAGCTATTATTCACAACCACAATACTGAACGGATTTACATGTATCTTACTACTATAAGTACTGTTTGTATCGGGTGCACTTGCAGCTGTTTTTTCATGTATTTATCCACGCTAAATTTAAAACTTATATCGATCTTTACTTATGAGTAAATGCACTTTATCTTGTACACACACACACACACATACACACATAAATATATATATATATATATAGTAT